GGTTGTTGTGGTATAGTTGCTGTGCTATAGTTGCTGTGCTATAGTTGCTGTGCTAAGGTTGCTGTGATATGGTTGCTGTGATATGGTTGCTGTGCTATGGTTGCTGTGCTATGGTTGTTGTGGTATAGTTGCTGTGGTATGGTTGTTGTGGTATAGTTGCTGTGGTATGGTTGTTGTGGCATGGTTGCTGTGCTATGGTTGTTGTGGTATAGTTGCTGTGGTATGGTTGTTGTGGTATAGTTGCTGTGGTATGGTTGTTGTGGCATGGTTGCTGTGCTATGGTTGTTGTGGTATAGTTGCTGTGCTATGGTTGTTGTGGTATAGTTGCTGTGCTATGGTTGTTGTGGTATAGTTGCTGTGGTATGGTTGTTGTGGTATAGTTGCTGTGGTATGGTTGTTGTGGCATGGTTTCTGTGCTATGGTTGTTGTGGTATAGTTGCTGTGGTATGGTTGTTGTGGTATAGTTGCTGTGGTATGGTTGCTGTGGTATAGTTGCTGTGCTATGGTTGTTGTGGTATAGTTGCTGTGCTATGGTTGTTGTGGTATAGTTGCTGTGGTATGGTTGTTGTGGTATAGTTGCTGTGGTATGGTTGCTGTGCTATGGTTGTTGTGGTATGGTTGTTGTGGTATAGTTGCTGTGGTATGGTTGCTGTGCTATGGTTGTTGTGGTATAGTTGCTGTGCTATGGTTGTTGTGGTATAGTTGCTGTGCTATGGTTGTTGTGGTATAGTTGCTGTGCTATGGTTGTTGTGGTATAGTTGCTGTGGTATGGTTGTTGTGGTATAGTTGCTGTGGTATGGTTGCTGTGCTATGGTTGCTGTGATATGGTTGCTGTGGTATGGTAGTTAGCCCCTTTAAAGTGACACATTGATTTGTTGTTGGTTGTCTTTCATAAAAGACCAATTTTTATGCAGTTGCAATAAAATAATTCTAAAAAGTCTCATCGTAATAAAATTGGTCTTCTCATTTCTGCGTGCAATAAAATAGGTCTTTCCATTTTTGACTACAATAAAATTAGTCTTTCCATTTTTGACTGCAATAACATTGGTCTTTCGATTTCTGCGTGCAATGAAACTAGTCTTTCAATTTTCACGTGCAATAAAGTTAAGTCTTAGAGGGTACCAATTGCAATTAGAATAGCAAAAAAAAAAAAAAAAAATCCTAGTGAGATTCATGAAGGCCGGCGCCTATTGTTTTAAGACAATGTTGGGGGTGGGAGTGCTAGAACATCCGCCAGTAATGACAGGCGGGGGTGAGGGGGTGAGGGGGGTATGTAATCACCCTCCACCCAATCCCATGTAATGTTATCAGCAGTCGGGCAAACAGCAATGACTCAACCATTTAGGCCTTCCTGTACGCTCGTTTGATTTCGTTGGGACCGCTGTTCGAGTGCGGCGGATAATGGTACGCCGTCCCACTTTACGATCGCCAACTTAAAACGAAATCAATGCCAATTTTTTTTTTTTCAGTGCCGTTTGGTCGCAACACGATCCGTTAAATTAGAACCGGTTAATTTAAAGCTCGATAAGGTTTGGTGTCAGTGATTAATTGGTTGTGACGTCACCCCACTGTGAGGATAAATCAACCGTTTATAAGTGGGGGGGGGGGGGGGGTTTAGTTTGTTGGTGGTGAAAGTTCACTTATCTGTTTAATTAGTAATTCACACTTTGTTTCGAAGGGTAATAATTAATAGGTGGCGGGGGTAGATTTAGGATTTCTTTCATAAATCTTATAAATGTTTCAGGAGGGGGGGGGGGGGGGGGGAATGACGATACGCTTTTTAGGGAGGGGCGAAGATGGTAAATATTGCAGGAAATGTAATTAGGCTTAAGAATCATATGACATCTTTTTTTAGGCGTTTGATCGTTTGAGACGAAGGGGGTATGACGGGGGCTTATACTTAGTTCTTAATTCTAGTGTTGGAAGGGATTCTCCCCAACACAACTAAATATTACGTGTCAACGGGTTATGCGCCTATTTGGCCGTTGACTCCGATTCTAGCCAGCTTTTCTTTTTGGATTTGCAGCAGTTGTTTGTTTGTGGTGTTGTCTCTCCCCAGTTTTCGAGGCTCATCTTCCCGGGGATTCGAACTCGGAACTATTTGGTTCAGCAAACATGAACTTACCGGACCCGACCACGCCCCCCTCGATGTGTATTTGATATTCTAAAACGTCGTGACGTCATTTGTGACTGCACCTTGATAAAATGATGAAGTGGGTTAGAGATACGCTTGGGGCTAGATATCGTAATCGCCGTAGTCGATACTATTCAGTATGTTCCTCCATTTGTTATTCAATGTTATATGAGATATCTAATGTAATATCCTCCTATCTTATTCAATGTAATATTCGATATGTTATTCAATGTAATATTCAATCTGTAGTTATGTGGTCGGCGTGGCTGTGTAGGTAAAGCTCATGGTTGCTAAACCGATAAGTTTCGAGTTCGAACCCTCTGGAAGATGAGGCTCGATAGTCAGGGCGACAACTCGAAAATAGAACAACTGCTGCCTTGTAGTTTGTTCTTGGTTGGACAAGCAAATTCAAATGGCGCATAACCAGTTGACACGTGGAAGGAATTCCTCCCAAGACTAAAATCAAGAAGAAAAGAAAAAATGATATGTTATTTAAAATAATACCCAATTTGTTATCAGTGCCGGCGCCAGGTGCACCCTTGCAAAACTCATTAAAACGCCCCCTTTCACACAAATTAATTAAAAGTGACTTATTAATTTATTATCAATTGCATACACGTTTTAAGTAGACATCAAAATCAAATTTTACTTGCCTCTTTCGTCTCTAAAGTTTGTATTAATTCCTTCAATTCCAATTTGCAAGCGTAATTACATTTAATTGAAATTGTTGCTAAGTCCACGAATCTACTTTGTACTTTACGACATAGCCCCCCCCCCCCCTTAGACAATCTTAAGTGCCCCCCCCCCCCATTCAGGGAGAAAAAAGTCTAAAAAGTCTGGAAAAAAAAGCACTGAAAAAAAAGTTCCTGTAGTGTTGGGCTCTCTGAAATCCTCCCAAGGTGAGTTCCAAAGTGGAACTTACCTGCTTTAAGCTTGACTGTCTTTAGTTTATTTTTTGTTTTTGAAAAATAAAAGGTTATAAATGTTATAGATTCCAGCTTAAAATTGTTATATATGAATCCTTTAGGAGAGGGTGAAAAATATAAAAAGGCAATTAATTAGATGGTTAATTTACGACTATGACTGTATGTTTACTAACATCAAGTATTGCAATCTACAGCTGTTACTGATTTATTTGTTTTTCGACTTGCTACTGCTAAAAAAAAACCTACCAAACTATTTTGTTTAGAACTTCTGCTCTATATAATTTTTACAATAGCAAATAATAACTTAAAGTTGTATTTATATACAAGCTGTCAACCTAAAGTGCAGGAATTTGAAATGAATGTAAAGTTAAGCAATGAATTACCTCCCATTTGAAAATCCAAATAACAAAATTTTATTCAAGGGAAATAACTTTCTTAAGAATAGCCAAATTTACCAAGTGTAACTAAGACATGCTTGAAAAACAAAATAAAACGCTCTAAATTTCATTACGTAATAATTGTAACAATTTTTTTATATTAGGTATGTAACCTTGTAAAAACAATATATTTTACCTATTGAATACTTAACTGTAGGTTTTGTTTGAAAGTCTAAAAATGGTAGCTTTATTATAACATACTTCTATTCCATTTCGATTACATTCTTTCTATTGCATGGATGGTTTATATAATTATTTTTATAAATTTTGGATCCCTTAAATCAAGGGACACCTTTAAAATAATCAAACACGGGTAACTGTTTAAGACAATGCTAGAATTATTGATTAAATTAAAATTTTTTTTTTTGGAAAATCAAAGTTTAAGGTTAGTTATAAATTCCATCCTATTTAATATTATATATATATATATATTAATACTTTAAGAGTGGTAATATAGATTCCTAAAAAACTAAACATTTTTCAACTAGAGAACGCCTACCTATATTTGTAGTGTGTTCCGTACTGAATTAAAATCATCTAACTTACGATAAACTCGACTACTCAATATACTCTATTACATTCACAACAGATATCAAAATTCGATACCTAAACATAACTAGACTCGATTCTCCAGAACAACGACACCTACTCGCTCAACTTCACCAAGCTCTACAAACGGTACTCCCAATCAACAACGATTTCACTGGACCTACTACTACACTTTAACAGTCAATATATTTCGATACTTTAATACCACATGAGTAACTACTCCCGAACTTCAGAACTACGATACTTTATCACCTACATTCTCATTTCTCTATTACCAATCATATTCCACTAGACCTTCAACTACAAAACAGCCGAATAAAAATTATAACACTTTAACACTTCGATACTTTATACCTACGAAACCATATCAGCAACAGCCTTCTGCCCAAATCTAAATGATTCATCAAAACTTACCAAACAAGTACAATACTTTGAACACCCCGTCATTACAAAACTTTGTACACCAGGACAGATTTCTAATTCAAAGTCAGAGAAAACGAGACTTACAGGCCCTATTAAAATTAAATAACCGTTTGAAATGTTCGAAATTTAAATAACGAACTTATTTCATTGTGACACCAAATTAAAAAGGCAGTGATTGGTAAAAAGCGCCCCAACCTTTCCAAGTTAGGGATGTGGGGTTGCATTTTCACCAACGCGAATAAATATAGGCCTATTTAGATCTTATTTTGGGGTGGGGGTGAAAAATTGATAGTTCGTCTTGGGTGCCGAAATAGATCGCTACGCCTATATACAAAATATTAAATACTAGGTACTTTTTAATAATATCGATTAAACATTTTGCGCCCACCAAAGGGATGGCGCCCTGGGCGACCGCCTAGTTCGCCTTATACGTAGCGCCCGCGATGTTTGTTATTCAATATCTTGATCAAAATGTATATCGTTGATTGTAATTCATACCTCACATAAATTAAGTTTTTTTTTACTCTGCAGGTAGGAAAAGAAATGGACAAAGCTTTTTTCTTTATCTTCAAAGATTTGCAGAGCCTAAGGAACAGAGGTGAGAATGGCCATTGTTGATTACGTAACTGATGTTGATGTGTTAGGTCTGGGTGCGCGTGCGAGCTAATTAGCTGATTGAGAGCAATGTGCAGATCGGAGGAGGGGGGGGGGGGGGATAATGTTGCAGGCGGTGTAGAGTAAACGTGTTTTTTTTTAATCTGGTGGGAGGGTAAATTTATTTAAACTGGGAATATATCTCAACTGACCCACAACCCACGGGTCCTGACCCCCATAACCCACGTATCCTGACCCCCATAACCCACGTATCCTGACCCCATAACCCACGTGTCCTGACCCCACAACCCACGTATCCTGACCCCATAACCCACGTGTCCTGACCCCCATAACCCACGTATCCTGACCCCATAACCCACGTGTCCTGACCCCACAACCCACGTATCCTGACCCCATAACCCACGTGTCCTGACCCCATAACCCACGTGTCCTGACCCCACAACCCACGTATCCTGACCCCATAACCCACGTGTCCTGACCCCACAACCCACGTATCCTGACCCCATAACCCACGTGTCCTGACCCCACAACCCACGTATCCTGACCCCATAACCCACGTGTCCTGACCCCACAACCCACGTATCCTGACCCCATAACCCACGTGTCCTGACCCCATAACCCACGTGTCCTGACCCCACAACCCACGTATCCTGACCCCATAGCCCACGTGTCCTGACCCCACAACCCACGTATCCTGACCCCATAACCCACGTGTCCTGACCCCACAACCCACGTATCCTGACCCCATAACCCACGTGTCCTGACCCCACAACCCACGTGTCCTGACCCCATAACCCACGTGTCCTGACCCCATAACCCACGTGTCCTGACCCCATAACCCACGTGTCCTGACCCCATAACCCACGTGTCCTGACCCCATAACCCACGTATCCTGACCCCACAACCCACGTATCCTGACCCCACAACCCACGTGTCCTGACCCCACAACCCACGTATCCTGACCCCATAACCCACGTATCCTGACCCCATAACCCACGTATCCTGACCCCATAACCACATGGCATGGAGTTATCTGAACCCAGAGTACATGCGTTTTAACTGACAACCCCCCTCCCTATAACCCTCTTGTATTACAGATCCCATAACCTTATTGTCTTAAGTGACCCCATTACCCTATCGTCTCAACTAACCCCGTAACGCCATAGTCCAAACTACCCGATCCCTTAACCCTATTATGCTAACTGACCCCATTACAACTTATTTCACAAACACGTATATGAATGGTGTAACTCCAATCACTTCTCTGACCCCATGACGTCATTGTCCATACTACCCGACCCCTTAACCCTACTATGCTAACTAACCCCATTACTACATATCCCAAACACCTGTATGAACGATGTCACTCCCACCTCACTCTGCACCTACGTCACGCAGGTGATAACGCTCAGCTCCACGATATCTCACTGACCCACCTGATACCCAAGACGGATGAGTACGTCACATATGAGGGGTCGCTCACACAACCCGGCTGCTTTGAGACTGTCACCTGGATCTTAATGAACAAGCCTTTGAGGATAGGTAAAGATCAGGTGAGAAAGTTTTTTAGGTAAAGTTCAGGTGAGAAAGTTTTTTTAGGTAAAGTTCAGGTGAGAAAGTTTTTTAGGTAAAGATCAGGTGAGAAAATTTTTTAGGTAAAGATCAGGTGAGAAATTTTTTTAGGTAAAGATCAGGTGAGAAAGTTTTTAAGGTAAAGTTCAGGTGAGAAAATTTTTTAGGTAAAGATCAGGTGAGAAATTTTTTTAAGTAAAGATCAGGTGAGAAAGTTTTTTAGGAATAGATCAGGTGAGAAAATTTTTTAGGTAAAGATCAGGTGAGAAAATTTTTTAGGTAAAGTTCAGGTGAGAAAGTTTTTTTAGGTAAAGTTCAGGTGAGAAAGTTTTTTTTTTATGTAAAGATCAGGTGAGAAAGTTTTTTTATGTAAAGATCAGGTGAGAAAAACATTTAAAGGTAAAGATCAGGTGAGAAAGTTTTGTTTAGGTAATGGTAAAGATCAGTCGGGGGAGTTTTTAAGGATAGGTAAAGATCAGGTAGTAATGATGTTAAAAACAGGGCAAAGACGATGTAAGAACATCTTTAAGGATAGGCGAAAATCAATCAGGAACGAGCATTTAACGAAGAAGCTAAACATCCGAAAAGGGTAGCTAAAATGGCAAAACTTTCGAACCCCTGGGCAATATATTGTATTTGTACGATACCTGTAACAAAATATATATAAAACATGTTAAGACTGGACTATAGTTCAAGGGTCAACCTCCTAGAGTGCGGGTCACGTACCTACCTGTGTAGACTTAGATTGACAGCTGCCATCGTCTCGTCCACAGCTCAAGGCCCTGCGGGTGCTATTCAGGAGTCGCGAGAACGAATCCAACATGGCCCTCGAGATCAACTCCAGACCGTTGATGCCACTCAACCATCGGGTGGTTAGGACCAACATCAACACTCCATCTAAGGTGGGTTCGAATCTCTACACAATGGCGTCATGTTGTGGTGTTCTATCCTCTAACACAAACTCTTCTCTCGCAATATGGCGTCATGGCCTCTCCTTTTGCAGCTTTTTCGAAATGCAACAGGGTTTCTTTTAGACATATTTCTATGTGAGGTAGGGGGCGGAAGGCTGTTGAAACTCCCGGGAGCGGGGAATACTGTTTAAAGTTTATATTTTCAACTTAAATAATATATTCTCTATTTCGACCGGAGTAAGGGAGGGGGAGGGTGGGGGCACGTTGCCCCCGCCCCCTCTCCCACCCCAACCCTCGGGGAGATGCTCGGAAAAAAGCGCCATCCACGACGTCATACAGTACAACAACGACATAATCTCATTATGTCATTTACTGTGCATGTCATCATGTCCTGTCATTGTGATTTCAACCACTCTCCATACACCCTCGTACACTAAATTTGGGTATTATTATGACGTCATGTACACACAATCTGACGTCATGTACTCTCGTCTCTAAATTACTGATTTTTTTTTTTAACTCCCTAGACTCGACTGTGTAAGATGGACAGGGACATGTACTATGAAGGTGAGTCTTTCTGTGGTCATTCTAAGATACATGTTTTTAAGTCTGTGTTAATTCTAAGTGTAAGATACGTGGTTTTAACTCTAATTCAATTACCCAACGATCCTTCATGTTTAAAAGGGAACTACTTTATTACTTTACTTTATATGCAACGATATATTGATAGCTCTATAAATCTAAGATAATTCGAGCTGGCCTAAAATGTTTTATACAGCTGAACTCTACTTCACCTCTTACACACCTGGTATATTAACATAACTTTTCTTCCTGACGATAATTTGCTTTATAATATAGCACTTACTCTACTATAATGAAATTTACATTCCCCTTTTATCAACATCGAATTTCCCTGTTATGGTTATCGTACTTTGCTTTATCGACCTCAAATTTCTTTGTAATTAATGTGATCAACATTGTTTTTTTTTCCTTATGTCTGACAGTTAATGAACGCTACTTCAGAACATGACGAGGGTGAGGGATATGGCTCAGCATCTACTGCTCATGTGTGTGAGGCTAAAGTTACTGTAGGAATTTGTAAGGCTAAAGTTACTGTAGGTATGTGTGAGTGTAAAGTTACTGTAGGAAGATTTCTGAGACTTTGAGAATTTCGCATTCTTTAGTCCATACAACCACACAATTGCACTACGCATTACCACACAATACCACACAACATTTTACCACACAACACCACACTACATTCTACTACAAACAACTACACCACGCTGTGCCAAACAAAAATCCTTTAAAACATCACATTACACCCAACCACTCCAAGGTTGTCTGTGGGCCAATCACGTTGGTGGGGGATACAACCATGGTAGGCCAACCACATTACAACCATGGCGGGCCAACCACATTACAACCATGGTAGGCTAACCACACTACAGCCATATTACAGGGACATTTATGGGAATAAATCAAGAATTCACCTTACCACACTTGACCACACACGCACACACAAACATACAAAAGACACACACCGCGCTAACAGACGAACCAAAAAACAACACACATACACACACGCACACACACAAACCAGTGTAAACCCACCCTGATACAGGTACAGACATACAACGCAACGATCAAACATAAGCGCACTCACATAATTAAAAATACACACAAATAGACACATAGCATATACATCTACAAACAAAAATACACTCGAAAAGACAAACAAAAATACAAGTAAACACAGACACACACACACACACACAAACCAACACACACACACACATTAACATGCACAAGTGACAAGAACACATAAGAAAGACAAAACTCTTCAAATAAAAGACCATAGTAAAATTTAAATCATTCGAAACGAAAAACAAACGAAATGTAAATCTATTTTACTCCCATATAAACTGTAAATATTTAACGCTGTAAAGTCTAACCAACATACGTTCCACATTTTGTAATATATGACGCTTGCTTTACAAAATATTTTCAATGTATACAAAATATTGTTTCCAAAATCTCATGCCAGTTGTAAATTTTATTCTATGGTTTCAAATTCCACTGCGCTCATCTAATTTGTACATTTACCTTTTTTGTTGTTTACTTAAATTGTGGTGCTCTTTTTAAATTTGTTCTATTTAAATTATCTTGAACATTAATGCTTGCATGAATGGTATAACCTAGATATGTACCATATATATATATATATTTATTTATTTATTTATATAATATACAATATATGTATATATATACATATATATATATATATGTATATATATATATATATATATATATATATATATATATATATATATTATGTATACACATATATACACATATACATAATATAGTATATATATATAGTATATATATATAGTATATATATATATATACTATATATATATATATATATATATATATATATATATATATATATATATATATATATATATAACTACACCTAGTTACATATATATATATATATGTATATTATGGGAAGTACTAGTACACTATTGGAGCCTATTATAACCACAAATGATGTGTCAACAGTATATCATATTTGTAAACAAATTAGTTTCAATATGCAACTCTGAATAGCCAGCTCCTTACTGTCATTTACAACGATTAAGTTTACATTGGCTTATTTGAGATAATTTGAATTTTATATGGATTAGATAACTTAGTTTTGCTAGCACCGATTACTTAATGTGCCACCTGTCTGCTGGTTTATCTAGAATAGAGAAAGCTGTCTTTAAATGAACATTACGTCACAACACAACTTTTCATAAAATTATTTGGAAGTTGCATTCTACATCATGAAACAATATTAAAAAAAAAAATTAAGGATAAATTCAACAGAATAAAAATCATTGGTTCTTACAGCCGATATGATTTTTAAAAAAAAGCTTTGTGGGAATGTGTTGATCCCATTTGTGCGAGAAAGAAATACCGGAGTTTATTCACAAGTTGAATAAGTGAGAATTGTAATGTCTAGTGTGAATGAGGTTTATAGAAAGTTAATGTATTTTCACAATTCTATAGTGTTTCTAATTGATTTGTCTATAATGTTTTTAATTAATTGACCATTAAATTAACCTCGCTTTGATATGTATCTTCAAACCGCCTGTAGAAAATGTCTTTAGAAATTTTAACATTGTCCTTCGCATAGAACAAAATTAAAATGTTCTTTGTCTAGAATTATTAAAAATGTCCTTCGCATAGAACAAATTAAAATGTCCTTTGTCTAGAACCATTAAAATGTCCTTTGTCTAGAATCATTAAAGTGTCCTTTGCTAGAACCATTAAAATGTCTTTCCTAAAACCATTAAAAATGTTCTTTGCCTAGAACCATTAAAAATGTCCTTTGCCTAGAACCATTAAAATGTCCTTCGCATAGAACCAAAACAATGTCCTTTGTTTAGAATCATTACAATGTCCTTTGTCTCGAACAAATTAAAATGTCGTTTGTGTAGAATCATTAAAAATGTCCTTGTCTAGAACCATTAAAAACGTCCTTCGCATAGAACAAATTAAAATGTCCTTTGCCTAGAACCATTAAAATGTCCTTCGCATAGAACCATAACAATATCCTTTGTCTAGAATCATTAAAATGTCCTTTGTCTAGAATCATTAAAAATGTCCTTCGCATAGAACCGTTAAAATGCCCTTCGCATAGAATCAACAAAGTTACGCGATCAACCTAAAAACATCAAAATTCTGCCTTTCGCCAAGAATGATCAAAACTCCAACTTTCGCCTACATTGTTCAAACTTGTCTTCTTGTGTTCATCGATTATGCAACCACCCCATTCGTTGATTTGTATTCATACCTGAACAACACACCTGTTTGTGATATTTTTAGCGCAATCCTGTAATATGCCAAGTAGCACAGGTGTTGCGACACACCTGCCAAAAAGTCTGGCACAAGTTACTCGCCACGTGCTACCACCATTGGAACATATCAATACTGATCGATTTGATCGATTTATCTTTAATATCGAACATTTATAATTTCTGTTAAGCACAGTCTAAAAGTGTTGATTTTCATGTTTATATTTATACGTGTTTTATTATTCTTTTTTTTTGTAAGTTACGAACATACTTTTCCAGCAGTGGTATAATAGGTCAAGGGAGGCAACTCGTGTTAAAAGTTCAAGGGAAATAACTCAAAGATTTGATTCGAAAGAGGTTTCCTGTCAAGTCCACTTCAGTGGGCGTTGACTGTCTGTCCAAACACAGACGTAAACGCTAGGGTAACCGTTGTAGAATTCGTTTCAGGCATTATGTTTCTTGGTGCCAGAACTGAGGTACTAGATCTAGATTTTTTTGTTTCCCTGATACACTACTGTATTTTAGTGGGTCCGTGGTATACTAGTTGAGTCCCTGATTTATTACTGTATTAATAACTCACTAACTGTTTCGATTACTAAGATTTGTATAATTTTTAATTAAAAAAAAAAAAAAAAAAAATGTATAATTTTAATTCTCTGTAATCCCAAATTTAATTCAGCTCTCTTCAGCCCACCACGCCGGTGGAAAAATAAAATCCCTTGAATCAACATTAAATTACACGTTTACATTTTCAGGTTGTAATTATAAAAATAAAATTGTAATTAGACTCTATAGACGTTTTGTATTAGACTTAAGTATAAGTAAACCGTCTTAAATGAATGAAAGTAGGCTACAAGTAAGAAAGAAATTTTACTATTGTAAATCGGTATCAGTCCTCACAAGTCGATGATGAAAACTGTAATACTAAAACAAGGTAAACTGACGCTGTAAATTACATGTCTGAGGCGAAAAACAAGAGGGAAAAAAAAAGTAGGGTACGTGGTATACTAGTTTAGTAGGTCCCAGGGCTACTACTATAATATAGTAGCGGCGGTCTCTGGCAGAGGCGTAGCGAGGGGAGGGGCGGAGGGCGGGGGGGGGGGGGACATATGTCCCCGGGCGCCGAACTTAGGGGGCGCCAAAATGGGTTGGAAAAACAAATTGAAAGCTTGAAGGGGGTTGCAAATCGAAAGTTTAAGGGGGGAGGGTGTATATCGAAAGTCTGAAGGGGGGGGGTGCAAATCGAGAGTCTGAAGGGGGGTGCAAATCGAAAGTTTAAGGGGGGAGGGCGTATATCGAAAGTCTGAAGGGGGGGGGGGGGTGCAAATCGAGAGTTTGTCCCCGGGCGCCGGGAAGGGTCGATACACCTCTGGTCTCTGGTAGTCCGCTTTATTTTAATAGATCCCGGGTTCTCTATTGTAATAGGTTCCTGGTACTCTATTTTCGTGGGTCCCGGGTAAAATTGTGTGTCTTAGTGGGTCCATGGTATTCTGTTTGTAATAGACGCCTTGTAGACTTATATTTACTCTTACAGAAATAAGAGGCGATGACTGGTGTACTCTACATTACTAGTTTCATCTTATAAAAATTAGGAGAATAACTAGCCTTATTAAGTCTATAGAGGTAGAGATTAGTACTGCGTTGCTAAGAGAACGTTTTAGCTCTTTCATAAATCTGTCACGCACACAGATAAGCTCTGGTTAAGCTCTATCGTAAAAAAAATTAGAGTAGTAGGTTTACCTCACTCCCCTGACACACACACCACTCACACACACATTCCCCTCACACCCCACACACATTCCCCTCACACACAACCGCACACCCCCCACACACTCGCACACATTCCCCTCACACCACTCACACACATTCCCCTCACACACACCCGCACACCCCCACACACACACCCGCACACATTCTCCTCACAGCCCTTACACCCCTCACACACATTCCCCGCACACCCCTCACACACATTCCCCTCACACACACCCGCACCCCCCCACATTCCTCTCACTCCCCCTCACACACATTCCCCTCACACACACCCGCACATCCCACACACACACACACTCACCCACATTCCACTCCCCCCCCCCACACATACACACACACACTAGTAGTTTGATTGCCTCTAGCGGAACATCGTCACAAGTCCCAGACATGCAGGACCCGACACTCAACAACCGGCATGTGACGACGTCATCAATCCAACCGGCAGTCACGTGGTCTGTATCATGCAAACAGCGGAGACGGATGTCCCCGTTGATCAAAAGACCAAACCGAAACCCTAACCCTAATCAGTACCCGCGGGCCGAACCAACTGTTCCTTTTTGAGGATGTGTTATACACAGGGAATTGTTTCGTCGATAAAGTTAGGTTTTTTAAGTTGCTGGTGGATTCTTTCAAGTGAATGGAATTTTTTTTAGCTATAGCGTTAAAAGCGGTATCGTTCAGCAATCAATGACTTACTAGGCTAATCGAAGCGTTCAAGTTGTTATTGTTTGTGTAATGGGTGGGGTTATTTGGTTTTTTAGAATTCGAAAGAAGTTTGAGTTTGTGTTAGGGTTAAGGTTAAGTAAGTGATATGGGAAGTAGTTGATACGACTATGGTAAAATATTGACGGCCAGTACTGCGTATTGATAAAGTACGAAAGGTGTGTATAATAAAAACCTTGCCGGTCGGGTGAGAGAATTAAATAACTGGAAAAAAAAACCAAGGAAGCAGAAGTGCAGAGCTACGTAATGTCCTAATCGACTCATCAAAATGAATTTCAGAAAAAAAAATCGCTTGGAAATTACACGGTTTAATTTTTTATTGTGGTGTCATTTTCTAAACAATTTTCTGAAATCACTCATTAGATTATTGAAGTACATTACAATGTGTGTAGAGCTGATTATAAAAAAAAATTATGTGTATGTAAAATTGCTGATGTTGAAATTTAATCCAGTGCTTATTAAAGGACTTAGATTTTCTTTCAAATGCTTTTTTTTCATATACAATTTGTGATATTTTTTGTCTTTTTTGAAGCAATACATAAAAAAAGAATTTTGAATGCTCATTAAATAAATCTGAAGTCTGTAAGTATCGTTGAGTTTGTACGTGAGTTTATGATCTCAATGTAAGAATGTGATCTTTAAATTTTGAGATTTATATCGCATTTATTTTGTCAAATATTTTATATATTGTTGCTTTATGTGTCAATAAAATAATTTTTCTTTGCTGTCAAATATTCGTTTTATTCGGTGATCGATTTTGCTAACGCAGGTCGTTACCATACCTAGGATCTTTCCCAACATGTGGATTTTGTGTCAGTATCTAGGAACGAAATAGCCGAGGGGTAGAGCGCTAGACAGCTAACCTGAAAGTCTCATGTTCGAACCCGGCAGTCTGTCGGAAGTCAATGAGTTCACCCAGCTCTGATGGGTGTTTGACTAACGTTATGGAAAACAAAGGTGGTTTGTGTATAGTGCTGAACACACTATCCACCTGTATGCCGAAGTTATTGAAACAGGTGAACTCTACTTCATCTGCCCATGTCTATTGGACACGAACGGAAACAGATGAAGATGGTGGTGATCTAAGCTGCTTGGGTAAAAATAAAATGCTGTTTACAGTTACGGTAAATTTTAACCAATCACAACACATGTTCAAATTACTTGCGTAAAACACATATGCTTCGTCAAGTATTAAAATAGTTAAAATTATAGATATAGGAAGGTACACATTTTAATCTCTCTGAGTATTTTATTAAGAAAATCAGGATTGAAACATCGTAGTGTTTTAACCCATTAAACACACAGGTTATTCAAACAATACAACAAGGTTACCAGTTGAAATAACACAATCTAACATTTTAAACTAACACTACTCACAAAAACTTTTATAACTATCAACAAATCTCTATAATCCTTTCCAGTACAACTAACAACATAAGGGAGATAACAGCGAATTGATACTGGAACTTTTGAAATATGAACACAAAGTGTTACAATTTTTAATCTTAACATAGATCTATCAACACAGCTAACGATACATCAGTTTAAATAGTTAGCTCTCAAGTAAGTCGACTAACTAAGGTAATATTCGAAATCTGAAAATAAAATGCTAAGAATTTAACAAGCTAAAACAATGTTGTCGAAGTTGAAACGAGGCTTGCTGCAGTGTTCTTGTAACCATAGCGACAGGTACTACAACAAAATCACACTGCAAAAGTATGTTTTTAGGTTTTTCAAAAAAGTCTTTTTGCCAAAACTTGTTTAAAGTGGCCTTGACCTGGGCTTCGGTGACCTTGAACCTGCCTCGGCCGAGCCTCGTCTTTTTCTGCGTCGCTTGGCGAGGCACGAGTGCTTGGCCTTGACATTCCACTGGCTGTTGGCCTTGCACTTGGCGCCCGTCTTGCCGACGCTCTGGAACCCCCGATGGCACCGGAAGCTGCACCGGGTCCTGAAGGGCACCCGGGGCAGCATGCAGATGGGCGGGTACAGGTAGCCGTTGTCGGGTACGGGTAGTCGCTCGCACGGCATGCCTGTGGGGGGGGGGGGGGTGGGGGGAAGAAACCAAGGTGAGTTTTTTCAAGTGCAGGTGTTGGTGTTGTCTTCTTGACAAGGGAGATCACTCGAGAGGGTAATATGCATTACGAAGCGTGCAAAGTCAAGCGAGTTTCATTTTAAAAACTAAAACCCTAGTGCAGATGAAGTAGAGTTCATGTGTAACCAGACGACTTTACCAACCTCTACTAGTAATTTTTAACGCGACTGATTGTCCGAAGGTGTCGAGGTCGGATCTTGAACCGGACTCAAGACAGAGGTGTATGAGTCCACTCAGCTCTAATGGGTACCTGACACACGCTAGGGAAAGAGAAGACGGCTGGGGATAGTGTTGACTACACCATCCCTTTATATGCCTAGGTAGAGAATCATGTGAACACTACTTCATCTGCCCTATGTTTCGCTATGTCTGAAAGGGGAACTTTACTTTTTTTGTATACTAGTAAGAGTACCCGTCAAAGCTGAGTAGGATTAAGTCATACAGACTCAACTTATTTTTACAGGTAATAATCACCTTCTGAAGGCCACACGGGAAAAACCAAAGATGCAATTTTTTTAAATTTTAGAGTTAGCGCCCTGTTAGTGGAGAAATAGTGCATATCTACCACATATAACAACATGTAAGCGTAAAACCACCTCGCTCCCCACAATATTGACTTTAAAAACATGCCACAAGATGGAACAAAAATGATCTCAAACTCAAAAACTAATATTTTTTTAAATGTAGGAAACTGACAATTTTGATTTATCCCCTGTGGTCTTCATCTGTTTCATGGGTTTTAACGTGCGTCTACTTACTTATACATTCAGGGCTTTGGCCAGACCAGGTAAAATTGTCCTGGCACGTCCTGTTCTCGTCACCTTTGAGGACGAAGAGCTTCCGGCACTTGTACGTGCACTCTGTCCCCGGGGCGACATGCTCCCCCTTGCTCATCCTGGCGCACGCCTTACTGGCGAACTTGGCGAAGTCAGGCGGCGACAACAGCGGGCATTTTGTCGCCACGCACGTGCGCTTGTCCGCGTGCAGGGTGTAGCCCTGGTTGCACGAGCAGAAGAAAGAGCCGTTTGTGTTGTTACATAACTGCTCACACCCGCCGTTGTTTTTAAAACACTCGTTGAAATCCTCGCATTGGTCCCGCGTCTCCGCGTTGCCTTGGTAACCGGGAGGGCAGAAACAGTCGAGGAGGGAGGTGGAGGCCGTCTGGGCGGTGGTCATGCCGGGAGGACAGGTCGAGCAGGTGAGGACCGAGTCCTTCTTAGTCCTGTAGGAACCCAGGGGACAGGGGGAGCAGTTGTGTCCGGTTTTGACGTAGCCGGCATCGCAGTCGCACCTGAAGGAGCCAGGTAAGTTAACACAGCGCTGTTGGCAGATCTTGGCTTTGGCACATTCGTCGATATCTGGAGGGATAACAGGTAGGGTAAGGTAAGTACAGGTATCTGGAGGGGCAACAGGTAGGGTTAGATTTGTACATGTATCCGTGGAGACAGGTAGGGTTAGGTAAGTACAGGTATCTGGAGGGGCAACAGGTAGGGTTAGGTAAGTACAGGTATCTGGAGGGATAACAGGTAGGGTTAGGTAAGTACAGGTATCTGGAGGGGCAACAGGTAGGGTTAGGTAAGTACAGGTATCTGGATGGGCAACAGGTAGGGTTAGGTAAGTACAGATATCTGGAGGGATAACAGGTAGGGTTAGATTTGTACAGATATCTGGAGGGATAACAGGTAGGGTTAGGTAAGTACAGGTATCCGGAGGGGCAACAGGTAGGGTTAGGTAAGTACAGGTATCTGGAGGGGCAACAGGTAGGGTTAGGTTTGTACAGGTATCCGTAGAGACAGGTAGGGTTAGGTAAGTACAGGTATCTGGAGGGGCAACAGGTAGGGTTAGGTAAGTACAGGTATCTGTAGAGACAGGTAGGGTTAGGTAAGTACAGGTATCTAAGGCAACAACAGAGATTTTAAGATAGTTACAGATACCTAAGGGGACAACAAAAAAGATTAGATTAGTACAGATATCTGAAGAGACGTCGGACAAACTTGCTTTGCTGACGTCATAACTGGCACCGAAAAATGACATTTACACCTTCGAAACATGAGATTTGTTGCGAATAAAATATGGTGTTTTCCCTTGACAAAATAAGGTTATTATTCATGAGGGGTCAAGGACTGGGGCAGTAGGCCAAAGACAATGAAATTACATGATATTTAACCATGCAAGCCAATGAAATATTCCCTGACATTCAACCATCCAGGCTATGATATTAGTCTGACATTTACATGACATTCACCTTTGCTAGTCAATGATGACATTTGTCTTGGCATTGAGCCTGAAATTTACATGACATTTGGCCTGCCCCCTACCCCTGCAAGCCAATGACATATCCCTGACAAAACATCACATATAATGACACTGAGCCTGTCATTTTCACATACCAGCCCATCCATTTACCCTGACATAACATTTGCCCTGACCAGCTCTTGTCATTTACCCTGACATTGAAATGTCATTTACCCCTGACATCGACTTGACATTTACCCTGACGTTTACCCTGACATTGACATGACATTTACCCTGACATCCCCGCTTGTCCTCCGACAGGGTGAACCCGCTCTTCCTGCAGTAACAGTTGAACGAGCCGGGCGTGTTGACGCACGTGTCCTCGCAGACGTCCTTGACCTCCTCGCACTCGTTCCGGTCGATGCACTGGCGCTCGTCCGTGTACAGCTTGTAGCCCGGGATGTTGCACTCACACCTGTAGGAGCCAGGTGTGTTGATGCACGTGCCCGTACAGCCGCCGTTACGTGATCGACACTCGTCTATGTCTGAGGGTGGAGTAGGGACAGTGTTATGGTTACGTCTTTTGTAGCAGTAGAAGTGGACTGGTGTTTTTAAACCCTTAAATGTATGCTGTTGCAGAGCTGCAACGCTGGGGTTATTTTCCCGTTAAATATTAGACTATGCATGTTTGATTTTATGCTCAGTGGTGTTCGACAGTCTAAATACATGGACGAATGCTATCTTGACTAGTGGTACAATGACCAATACTACATTTTTTTTAAAAGCTACATTTACTAATGCTATTTAGATTGGTGCAACAATGACCAGTCATACATTTGAAACGTGTTATATTACTAGGGCTGGATTGAGTATTTCTACTTTTGGAAAGTGCTACATTTGAAAAGTGCTACATTGACTATTGCTATGCTCATTACTGCTGCATTGACTAATACTACATAGATTAGTGCTACATTGAATAGTGCTATATTGTCTACTGCTACATTGACTAGCTCTACATTGACGAGTGCTACATTGACTAGTGCTATATATGCAAAATACTACATTTACATATGCTACACGTACTAGTGCTACATTACACAAGAGAACACCTTTTATCCAGTACTGATGACAAAAACTGACTCACGATCGGTCCAGTCTGTACTCACCCCGACATTTTTTCCCATCATGCAGTAGCTCGTGCCCAGGTGGACACGTGCATTTGGCACCTGCTGGCGTGTTGATGCACCTGTACTCACATTCATGGTTCGGGGATTCGCACTCATTGACGTCTGAAATACATGAACATAAACTCGCTAGAAATCCGTGTCAACGGCCTGTATGGTCATGTGACTTACCTTCTTGAAGTCACTGGTCGAGTGGCTTCCTTAAAAAGACAACTGATCACCTGACCAATCACGTGACACGTCACCTACCTTCAAGCGACAGCTTATCATGTGACCGAACACCCCCCTCCCCCACGACAACAGCACACCTGACCTATCACGTGACCTACCTATACACAACAGCTGACCACGTGACCTACCTTCACACGACAGCTAATCACGTGACCTACCTTCACACGACAACAGTTCACGTGACCTATCACGTGACCTACCTTCACACGACAGCCTATCACGTGACCTACCTTCACACGACAGCCCATCACGTGACCTACCTTCACACGACAGCCCATCACGTGACCTACCTTCACACGACAGCTGACCACGTGACCTACCTTCACACGACAGCCCATCACGTGACCTACCTTCACACGACAGCCCATCACGTGACCTACCTTCACACGACAGATGACCACGTGACCTATCACGTGACCTACCTTCACATGACAGCCCATCACGTGACCTATCACGTGACCTACCTTCACACGACAGCCCATCACGTGACCTATCACGTGACCTACCTTCACACGACAGCCCATCACGTGACCTACCTTCACACGACAGCTGACCACGTGACCTACCTTCACACGACAGCCCATCACGTGACCTACCCCGTGACCTACCTATACACGACAGCCCACCACGTGACCTACCTTCACACGACAGCTGACCACGTGACCTACCTTCACACGACAGCCCATCACCTGACCTATCACGTGACCTACCTTCACACGACAGCCCATTATCCGCCAGCTTGAAGCTCTTACTCTTACAGCGACACAGGAACGAGCCGGGCGTGTTGACGCAGACGTGCTCACAGCCGCCATTGTGACTCTTACACTCGTTCACGTCTGCCGAGAAACGAGAGTGTCACGTGTCACGTCAAGAAGTGTCACGTCAAGAAGTGTCACGTCAGGAAATGTCACGTCAAGAAGTGTCACGTCAAGAAGTGTCACCACGTGAAAGCAATGTCACGTCAAGAAGTGTCACGCGAAAGCAGTATCACGTCAAGCAATATCACGTGAAAGCAGTGTCACGTCAAGAAATGTCACGGAAGCAGTGTCACGTCAAAACGTGTCACGTTAAATGAGCCTTAACAATGCTGTACGTGAGTTCCGACATAAGAACTAGAGTAGTGTTAGCAGTTCGGAAATAAGGAAACCATTGTGTAATGTTAAATTTGGGGAATGGACTAACGTATAACTGCAGGGTAGGTAAATTATTTGATTTTAGAATGGTTAGTGGTGTTACTAGGTTTAGGATTAAAGTTTTAAAACAGGGGTGCTAATATAGGTGCGGACTAGTTTAGCGTTTGAGTTTGATAACAGTGGTGTTACTTTAGATTCGGTGTAGGTTTGAGTTTGATAACATTGGTTGTAGTATAGGTTCAGGCTAGGTTTAGAGTTTGATAATAGTGGTGCTAATTAGGTTCAGGACAGGTTTAGGAGTAGAATTTGATAAAAGGGATGCTAATATTGGTATAGGTTAGGTTTAGGATTAGAGTTTGATAAAAGGGATGATAATATTGGTATAGGTTAGGTTTAGGATTAGAGTTTGATAAAAGGGATGATAATATTGGTTTAGGTTAGGTTTAGGATTAGAGTTTGATAAAAGGGATGATAATATTGGTTTAGGTTAGGTTTAGGATTAGAGTTTGATAAAAGGGATGATAATATTGGTTTAGGTTAGGTTTAGGATTAGGATTAGAGTTTGATGACAGTTTAGGATTAGAGTTTGATGACAGTTTAGGGTTAGAGTTTGATGACAGTTTAGGATTAGAGTTTGATGACAGTTACAAAAACAGAGGGATTACCTTCACAGGATAATCCGTTCGCCGACAAGACAAATCCGACTCTACACGTGCAGTGTGCGCTGCCAGGTGTGTTGACGCAGCCCTGCTCACACTTGAGTTTACCCGACTTGCACTCATCTACATCTGCAACCAGACCATACACGATTAGATTAGTAGTCGTTGGATTAACGGGGATAATGGGGATTAGTGGCACGGTTTACCCGACTTGCACTCGTCTACATCTGGAACCAGACCATACACGGTTAGATTAGTCGTCGGGGATAATGGGGATTAGTGGCACGGTTTACCCGACTTGCACTCGTCTACATCTGGAACCAGACCATACACGGTTAGATTAGTCGTCGGGGATAATGGGGATTAGTGGCACGGTTTACCCGACTTGCACTCGTCTACATCTGGAACCAGACCATACACGGTTAGATTAGTCGTCGGGGATAATGGGGATTAGTGGCACGGTTTACCCGACTTGCACTCGTCTACATCTGGAACCAGACCATACACGGTTAGATTAGTCGTCGGGGATAATGGGGATTAGTGGCACGGTTTACCCGACTTTCACTCGTCTACATCTGGAACCAGACCATACACGGTTAGATTAGTCGTCGGGGATAATGGGGATTAGTGGCACGGTTTACCCGACTTGCACTCATCTACATCTGCAACCAGACCATACACGGTTAGATTAGTCGTCGGGGATAATGGGGATTAGTGGCACGGTTTACCCGACTTGCACTCATCTACATCTGCAACCAGACCATACACGGTTAGATTAGTCGTCGGGGATAATGGGGATTAGTGGCACGGTTTACCCGACTTGCACTCATCTACATCTGCAACCAGACCATACACGATTAGATTAGTAGTCGTTGTATTAACGGGGATTATGGGGATTAGTGGCATGGTTCAGTGAAACTGGTTTCATTGTACAGTTTATGCGCTCTAAGCATAGCACTTATTGATGGCGTGGTCAGATGGTAGAGCATACGACTGCTAACCAAAAGTCTCGAGTTCGAGTCCCGGGCTCCTAGAAAGTTCATGAGTCCACGCAGCTCTGTTAGGTACCAGACAAACAATATCCCTTCATATGCCGAGGTGACTGAAACAAACTATAGAAACAAATCCAAATAGATAAGCAGGCCGAAATCGGAGACTAACTCCGGTATAAAGGTTGGCACGCAATACTTAATTTTGTTAAAATTTAGAACAAAGAAGAAGAACGACTGAAACAGGTGAACTCTACTCCGATGGAAAGGAGGTAGTAGGCTGTTTGCTATAAACTTTATATAGTAAGCACAGCCCCGCATATTTTACTTGAACTTAGCCAAACAGTCCTGTGTGTCCAACATAAACAGTCCTGTGTGTCTAACATAAACAGCCCTGTGTGTCCAACATAAACAGCCCTGTGTGTCTAACATAAACAGCCATGTGTGTCCAACATAAACAGCCCTGTGTGTCTAACATAAACAGCCCTGTGTGTCTAACATAAACAGCCCTGTGTGTCTCACTGACTTAAACAGCCGTGTCTGTCCAACTTACCCAAGCACAGCCCTGTACCGTGTGTATCCTGCCTGTAACCCTGCACGCAGGTACAGTCCTCTAAGGACGTCCTGCCTGTGGAGCTGGTGTTTGTCCTAGGGGGACATCGCCTGCAGGTTTTGTCATCAGGACCCCGATATGTTCCATACCCACACTCTGAAAATTACAATTTTTATTTTTGTCATCAGGACCCCGATATGTTCCATACCCACACTCTGAAAATTACAATTTTTACTTGTTTTAGATTTTCAGAGAGAAAAACGTTTACAAAAATTATATTGTTTTATAGATTATAAATTATGTGTGCTTTAATTGTCTTTTCTTATTTCAGAAAAATATATTTCTCTATAGGTCAAGGTTCTAATTGAATTAATTTGTTTTTGTTTTTCTTTTCTCTCTAATTAAATAATCTAATGTTTGTCCCGAAAACGCTTTTATTATGCGGAGTAAAATATGAAAAAATGTAAAAGGAGCTGTGTTTCAAGGTAGTTATGGTAGTTATATAGAGTAATCGCTATATTAGTGGTATTTATGTTCAGTGGTAGATGTATAATTAATAATTTATATTTATTTGTTATTGTTAGTTATGTAAGTGGTAAGCATTTTAATCACTAATTATGTTACGCGGAAATGGTAATAAGATTTTTCTGTGTGCGGAAATTTTCCTAAATGCATTTTTTTCTGTGAGCGTACTTTTCTGTTTGCGCAATTTTTAGTTGCGCATTTTTTTGCTTGCGTGTTTTTATGGTCACCGTTTTAGTTAATAATCTATCTATATATATAATTCTCTTCTTGGAGGGGGGGTTATCGTCCTTAACGACCTACTGATAGTGTTTTAAAGCAAATATATTCAGTGGCAGCATTGGTAGGCTACTGTCGAATTCACAAATTATGAATTACTGAAAAGTAGAAAATAAAACAACTAAATAGCGGCGTATGATAGGCCGTCGTGGGTCGGCTCGTTGTTAATATTAAAATAAGTATTTTTTTAAAGGTTTTACCGTAAACCGTTAAGTTTAGTAGAGTTGACTTCACTACCTGCAGTAAACTTACCTATACATGAAGTCTGGTTGGTGTCAGAAGGGTTGGCGAAACCAGGTGGACAAATACACAGGTAACTTCCGGGTGTGTTCACGCACTTGTGGGGGCAAGGGTCAAGGCTGCATTCATTTATATCTGCAGTCAAATAAATTAATATTCATTTCGTATTAAATTTTAAAATGTAACTACAAAAAATTATACAAACAACACATGAAGCGAGATCCGCCATATTTGTTTACCTTCACAACCGGACGCGTCACTGGCCAGACGATATCCGGGTCTGTCGCAGTCACAGAGGTAGGAGCCCACGGTGTTGATGCAGATGTCGGGACATGGGTTATCTCCCTCCATACATTCGTTGATGTCTAGATAATAGGCAATACATCAATACATTTTACCTAACGAATGAGTTAAACCCCACGCGAATTGAAAGATAGATAGAGACAGCAACAACAAAAAAAAAGATGGAGACAACTGAAAGATAGGGGAGACAAGTTAGAAAAGGTAAGTGGAGAATTAAAATATATGGGGAGACAATTAAACGATAATGGAGACAATTAAAAAACACGGGAAAGACAATTAAAAGACAGAGGGGACAACTGAAAGAAAAAAACAAATAGAAATGAGGTAGAGCTACAGAAAACGGCAAGCCTGAACACAATTAAATACAAAAACTGACCAATACAGGTGACCATGTCCTGGGAGAGTTTAAACCCCGCCCCCTGACACTGGCACTGGAAAGACCCCTCGGTGTTGACACACGAATGTTGACACGGGTTGTTATCAGATGAGCACTCGTCAATATCTGCACATTTAAAACACTCGTCAATAAATTCTGGTTTAAAGCACGTGTCAATATCTGCACATTTAAAGCACTCGTTAATATCTGCACATTTAAAGCACTCGTCAATATCTGCACATTTAAAGCACTCGTCAATATCTGCACATTTAAAGCACTCGTCAATATCTGCACATTTAAAGCACTCAATATCTGCACATTTAAAGCACTGGTCAATATCGCACATTTAAAGCACTCGTTAATATCTGCACATTTAAAGCCCTCGTCAATATATGCACATTTATAGCACAAGTTAATAAATAAATTTACATTCGTTAATATTTATCTATAATGTCAGATTACAAAGATGTTGTCATCTGGAAGCTGGAGGAAAATAAGAATAGACAGCAGCTCGCAAATAAACATTAACATTTGCTCAGAAAAAAATATTTTGTTCTAACAAAACTATTCATAAGCTTTCATAAACATAAGAAAAAAATTAACAGTTTCAAAAACAGAAACCTTCCCAAACAACAACAAACACCCACAAACCGTCACAAACAATAAAACAATCGGAAACAATCACAAATCACCACAAACGCCCACACATTAACACATACCCACAAACCCCCACATACCATCACAAACACCCACAAAGACCCACACACACACACACCAAAAACACCCACCCGTCAACAAACCCCCACACACCCACACACCAACAACTCCCACAAACCTTCACAGATGAGACTGTTCTCACTGAGAGCGAACCCCTCCTTGCACGTGCACGTGAAACTGCCTGGCGTGTTGACACACAGCTGTGAGCACATGCTCTTCTCCTTGGAGCACTCGTCCACATCTGCTAGACGAGAGCCAAAAACTGACCGGTCACCCAGTGGTCATCTGATGCTGCTTAGTCCGTAAGTATTTAACTCAATGTAGGCACAAGAAAGATATAAGAATTCGACCTCATCTGCCCAATGACTAGTTAGGTCTAAAGGGGATTCTTTACTTTATTTTTACTTATTTCTTCTTCTTCTTCGTTCTTAATTTTTAATGTTGGAAGGGATCACGCCTTATCTCCCAGAGGGTTTGAACTCGTGACTTTTTCGAATTTATCAACCATGAGCTTTTTGCTGACTCGCCTCCATCATAATTAAGGAGTACTTGTCAACTGGTTAAGCGCCAATGAGGCCATTGACTCCGATTTCAGCTTGCTTTTCTTTTTGGATTTGCTTCCATAGCCATTGTCCAACCAAGAACAAACTACAAGGCAGCAGTTGTTTGATTCTGGAGTTGTCTCTCCTAGAAGAGTGGCTGTCCCCAGCTAACGACCCTCATCTGCCCGAGGGTTCGAACTCGACCCTGTTTTTACTTGATTCTATAGGATGTCGCTGAATCTACCCAGCTCTAATGGGTACCTGAATTTACATTAGGAAAACAAATGCTGCTGGGCATAGCGCTAACCACTCTATCATCCTGTATGATTATGTCATTTAAAAATATGAACTCTACTTCATCTTCAAAATGTGTCTTGATCAACAAATTGAGACGACTACGCAAACATAGCCTGCGATTATCAAAGCCACCACGGGGAGACAGAGGCGTAGCGACCCCTCCCGGCGCCCGGGGGCAAACTTTTAATTTGGCGCCCCCCCCCCGGATATTTTTTATATTTATAATTCAAAATAGCAGCTAAAATGAGCTTATTTTGGCGCCCCTAGGGTCGGCGCCCGGGGACATATGTACCCCCCCCCCCCCCCGTCGCTACGCCACCACGGAGATACAACCGCAAGTGTGTAAAAACAGCAGCAGACGACCTGTGCAGCCTTGACCGTCCTTGTCCAGCCTGTAGCCCGCCTGACACTGACACGTGTAGGAGCCGAGTGTGTTGTGACACAGTTGGCTGCAGTTGTGGCTCTTTCGCTCGCACTCGTTCACGTCTGATCAATAGAAACAACAACGGGATAAAATATTTCAACAACAAAAAAGGACGGCGAAAAGATTATGAAAAAAAAAAAACTGGCTAACTAACTACTTGTGAAAAAATTTGCGAGTAAAAAATATTGTGATTGTAAAAACATTGATTATTTTGACGAAAAGCCGTTGGTGACATAAAACCTCGTTCAAATTAATTTTTGTACAAAACGAAATAAATATTGGTTTACAATAAGGCTTGTAAGTCTCTTTGCTTTTCTTACTTAAAATTTGAAAACTCGTTAGCTAGGGGCAGGTGAATTCTTAAAGATCATTATCAGATTTTACGGTTTTAAATAACTTAACAATAGCGTAAGTAACTTTTATTTCTTTTTTTTACCGATTTAATAAACATATTCACACTTGGTTTGAAAAATACTAGCTGGCTTGTATGATAAGAAGTTGGTGACCTACTTACAAGTCCTATTGCATGATACATAATTGTTTTAAAAAAAATAGAATGATGTTTTTATTTTTAAATTTTTTTTTTTTTTTGCGTAAGTATGGAATGAGCTATGTTTGACTTTGCTATTGGTTACAATTGACTATGTTACGGCCTCATTTGCCTACCTTGACAGTTGGCGCCGTCAGCTTCCGCACTGTAGCCTGCTGGACATGCGCAGTGGGCACTTCCTACCGTGTTGACGCAGGTGTGGGAACACCGCATGTTTCCGGTGTGGCACTCGTTGACGTCTGCAGATGTTTTAGAACAGTGCAATGCTCTTTTAAGACAATATAAATATACCATCACCGTATGAATAATTTCATTTTTGGCTTGTGGCCTTTAGCTCGTTAAGCGTTTACGTCTTTGAACTTTTACGACATTGAACTTTTGCGAAACTGAACATTTACAAAATTGAGCTTTTACGACATTGAACTTTTGCGAAACTGAACATTTACAAAATTGAACTTTTACGACATTGAACTTTTGCGAAACTGAACATTTACAAAATTGAGCTTTTACGACACTGAACTTTTGCGAAACTGAACATTTACAAAATTGAGCTTTTACGACATTGAACTTTTACGAAAATGAAATTTTATGACATTCAACCTTTACGACAACCAAGTTTTACGACAACGTCACCTTACCTTGACATCCAATGCCCAAAGTGGGGTTGCCATGGAAACCTTTATCACAACGGCAATCCCGAACAGAAAGGGCAAGGCCGTCTCGCGCATGTGCATTTTTAGGGCAGTCCATGCACACGGATTTGGAACGGTTGAAGAACTGGTTCTTTAAGCACTCTGGTGGGTTGATTGCGTGAAGTGTAAAAGAAAGAGTAACTTTAGAATCGATTGAAAATTGTATATAAACTTCAACATTTTCGGAGTTTAGAAATGAAAAATTAAAACACTCTACTACGGTGAGAAATCCAAACAATAATTGCTAGTACAGTTATCAATTTATTGACCCTTTAGTGACTAATTTTACAAGATCAAATGTATATCGACGATGTTGATAGAGATCTATATAGTTTTTAATTAAAATACAGATTTTTTTAAAATAAAAAAAGATTGTTTCCTTAACGTTTAAACTTAATGTATGATAAGTCCGCCGTCAACATATTGAGACACACTGGGTCAGTAAATGTATTAGTTGTGTAGTGTAGGTCTTACTAGTGGTATTACCTTCTGCTAGTAGTTTACTCACCCTTACAAGTAAATCCAACTTTTGTTTATAGTTTACTCATCCTTAGACGTGAATATAAGTATAGCCAGTAGTGTACTCATCATTACAAGTCAATCGAACTTCGGCCAATAGTGTACTCACTATTGCACGTGAGTAACACTTCTACCAGTACTCACTTTACACGTGAGTCCATCTTCTGCCAGTACTCACCCTTACACGTGAGTCCATCTTCTACCAGTACTCACCCTTACACGTGAGTCCATCTTCTGCCAGTACTCACCCTTACACGTGAGTCCATCTTCTGCCAGTACTCACCCTTACACGTGAGTCCATCTTCTACCAGTACTCACCTTTACACGTGAGTCCATCATCTACCAGTACTCACCCTTACACGTGAGTCCATCTTCTGCCTGTATTTTACTCACCCATACACGTGAGTCCATCTTCTGCCAGTACTCACCCTTACACGTGAGTCCATCTTCTGCCAGTACTCACCCTTACACGTGAGTCCATCTTCTACCAGTACTCACCTTTACACGTGAGTCCATCTTCTACCAGTACTCACCCTTACACGTGAGTCCATCTTCTGCCTGTATTTTACTCACCTTTACACGTGAGTCCATCTTCTACCAGTACTCACCTTTACACGTGAGTCCATCTTCTACCAGTACTCACCCATACACGTGAGTCCATCTTCTGCCATTACTCACCTTTACACGTGAGTCCATCTTCTACCAGTACTCACCTTTACACGTGAGTCCATCTTCTGCCATTACTCACCTTTACACGTGAGTCCATCTTCTGCCATTACTCACCTTTACACGTGAGTCCATCTTCTACCAGTACTCACCCATACACGTGAGTCCATCTTCTGCCATTACTCACCTTTACACGTGAGTCCATCTTCTACCAGTACTCACCTTTACACGTGAGTCCATCTTCTACCAGTACTCACCCTTACACGTGAGTCCATCTTCTGCCTGTATTTTACTCACCCTTACACGTGAGTCCATCTTCTACCAGTACTCACCTTTACACGTGAGTCCATCTTCTACCAGTACTCACCTTTACACGTGAGTCCATCTTCTACCAGTACTCACCCTTACACGTGAGTCCATCTTCTGCCTGTATTTTACTCACCCTTACACGTGAGTCCATCTTCTACCAGTACTCACCTTTACACGTGAGTCCATCTTCTACCAGTACTCACCCTTACACGTGAGTCCATCTTCTGCCTGTATTTTACTCACCCATACACGTGAGTCCATCTTCTGCCATTACTCACCTTTACACGTGAGTCCATCTTCTACCAGTACTCACCTTTACACGTGAGTCCATCTTCTACCAGTACTCACCCATACACGTGAGTCCATCTTCTGCCATTACTCACCTTTACACGTGAGTCCATCTTCTACCAGTACTCACCCATACACGTGAGTCCATCTTCTGCCTGTATTTTACTCACCCTTACACGTGAGTCCATCTTCTGCCTGTATTTTACTCACCCTTACACGTGAGTCCATCTTCTGCCTGTATTTTACTCACCCATACACGTGAGTCCACCTTCTGCCTGTACCTGTCCTATTCGACTACAGCCAATACTCACCCTTACACGTGAGTCCATCTTCTACCAGTACTCACCCATACACGTGAGTCCATCTTCTGCCTGTATTTTACTCACCCTTACACGTGAGTCCATCTTCTGCCTGTATTTTACTCACCCATACACGTGAGTCCACCTTCTGCCTGTACCTGTCCTATTCGACTACAGCCATTACTCACCTTTACACGTGAGTCCATCTTCTACCAGTACTCACCCTTACACGTGAGTCCATCTTCTACCAGTACTCACCTTTACACGTGAGTCCATCTTCTACCAGTACTCACCCTTACACGTGAGTCCATCTTCTGCCTGTATTTTACTCACCCATACACGTGAGTCCATCTTCTGCCATTACTCACCTTTACACGTGAGTCCATCTTCTACCAGTACTCACCCTTACACGTGAGTCCATCTTCTACCAGTACTCACCTTTACACGTGAGTCCATCTTCTACCAGTACTCACCCTTACACGTGAGTCCATCTTCTGCCTGTATTTTACTCACCCATACACGTGAGTCCATCTTCTGACTGTATTTTACTCACCCTTACACGTGAGTCCATCTTCTACCAGTACTCACCCTTACACGTGAGTCCATCTTCTGCTAGTACTCACCCTTGCACGTGAGTCCATCTTCTGCCAGTACCTGGCCGATTCGACTACAGCCACACCTGAAGGACCCTACGGTGTTGTAACAGGTGTCCTCACACCCCGCTGTCTTCAGGACACACTCGTTAACATCTGGTGACAAAGTTAACTTACACGGGTTAACATTTGGTAAGATAGGTTAACATCTGGTGACGAGTTAACTTACAGGTTAACATTTGGTGAGATAGTTAACTTATATAGGTTAACATTTGGTAAGATAGGTTAACATCTGGTGAGATCTTTAACTTACAGATTAACATTTGGTGAGATAGTTAACTTACAGGTTAACATTTGGTAAGATAGTTAACTTACAGGTTAACATTTGATAAGAGAGGTTAACATCTGGTGAGATAGTTAACTTACATAGATTAACATCTGGTTAGATGGTTAACTTACAGGTTAACATTTGGTGAGATAAGTTACCTTACAGGTTAACATTTCGTGAGATAGTTAACTTACAGGTTAACATTTCGTGAGATAGTTAACTTACAGGTTAACATTTGGTGAGATAGTTAACTTACAGGTTAACATTTGGTGAGATAGTTAACTTACAGGTTAACATTTGGTTAGATAGTTAACTTACATGTTAGCTTACATAGGTTATCATCTGGTAAATTGTTAACTTTAAGGTTAACATTTGGTAAGATAGTTAACTTACAGGTTGACATCTAGATAGATAATTAACTTAATAGGTTAACATATGGTTAGGTAGTTAACTTACAGGTTAACATTTGGAAAGATAGTTAACTTACAGGTTAACATTTGGTAAGATAGTTAACTTACATGAGTTAACATCTGGTTAGATAGTTAACTTACATAGGTTAACATCTGGTTAGATAGTTAACTTACATAGGTTAACATCTAGGTGAGGGATCTGTTTCCTTTTCAGATAGATTCTAGGATTACTATTGTGATGGGATGTTTCCTTTACTGATTGTATGTTTACTTTTAATACAGATACTATTTTCCCTTCCATGAAACTAGATTCTTTAAATAAAATACTCTCCCATTTACGATATTACATTCATGTTTTCATGAAACTTTTTATTTTCTTTGCTCACTATCACTCGAATACAACAATTTTCTCACAACTTGTATACCCAACCCATTTCTAATTTTAGAACTCTGACCTTTACAGGTGACCTTGTCCTCGTGGAGGGCGTATCCCTTGTGACACGAGCACTGGAAGGAGCCGGGGCTGTTCTCGCATACCTGCTCACACCCGCCGCTGTTTGTCTGGCATTCGTCCACGTCTTGACGACAGACGACCAAACATGGCGACGGAAAAAGGGCGATAAGTGGGACGTGAAAATACGTTTTAAAAACATCAAAACAAATTTTAAAAATATCAAAACAGGTTTTAAAATATAAAAAAAGTTTTAAATATCAAAAACAGATTTGAAAATATAAAATAGTTTTTAAAATATCAAAACAATGTTTTGAAAACATCAAATACAAGTTTTTTTATTATCAAATTAGGTTTAAAAATATAAAAAAAAACTTTTTTTAAATATCAAAACAACGTTTAAAAATATAACATCAAGGTTTAAAAACATCAAAACAAGGTTTAAAAATAACATCAAAGCGAATTTAAAATATCAAAACAGTGTTAAAAACATAAAAACAGTGTTTAAAATATCAAAACGACGTTTTAAAAATATCAAAATAAGGCTTAAAAATATCAAAACAATTTGTTTTATAATATCAAAACCAGGTTTTAAAAGGCAGGACTGTGTGGTTGTGCAGAAAAGCTGATGCTCGATAACTCCAAAAGTCCCGAGTTCGAATCCCGGGTCTGGAAACATTTTCTTTCTTCTAAAATTGTTTGTCCGTTATCTATTCATCGAGCCAATGTTGGACTTAACAAAACCAATTTGCCCATGCACATATCTTAGTCTCGGATGTTATTTGCAGCTCTGTGTTCGTTTTTTGATAGGCTCGTGGGGACTGATACAAAATTAAACTCGTATTACTTCTTTCTGCCATTTTTTTGTATTCTCATAAATAGTTTATTTGTGCTTAATTCAAAACGTCTAATTTCAAGTTTTGAAAGATGAAAGAATTAGTAAACTGGTACTGTGATGTCCTTTAGTGGGTGGGGAAGGGGTGGGGAAGGGGTGAGGGAAGAGGTCCCAAAAGATTGACATGGAATATTTATATTAGAAGTATTTGTTTTTCGGGGGTGGAGGGGGTATGAATCTATAGCTGGAGCTTAAGTCAAACTAAAAGTCGATTTGGAATTTATAAGAGCTGAAATTGAAATCACTAATTTAGTTGTAAGAGAATGAATTGTAGAAAGCTGGAGAATCGAATCTATAATACAAAGGTGTATTTTTTTAGAGGAAGGGAAGGAAGGAAGAGATATAACATTATACTTGAAGCTGAAATAAATTTTGGGGGAAAAATAATATGAGTAGCATGGACGTTATGTACAGTAAAGTGAAACACCTCAAATCGAACATTCTTCCCTTTCGAGCAGCTATAACAATAGCAGCCATGCTGCAGATATTTGTTTTCAGTAATCTATTTTTTAGACGTTTAAATTTGAAGTTTTATAATACAGTTTTAAAGAAATATTAATAAAGTGTATAGTTAAACAGTACTGATAAATAATGGATAATTGACATTCAATTAGATTCAAGTCATGATTAGTGGATGCAGTTCTGGGTCTGTTGGCAGTTAGCTGTTTTATTGACTAGCCCATGTCATTGAAGTTTAAAGGTGACACTTTGGTCACCTGTTTTTGTTCATGTTTTTAAACTTATTGTACCACCTGTTTTTTTGTTCATGTTTTTAACCTTATTGTACCACCTGTTTTTTTGTTTTTGTTTTTAACCTTATTGTACCACCTGTTTTTTTGTTTTTGTTTTTAACCTTATTGTACCATCTTTTTTTTTCATGTTTTTAAACTTATTGTACCATCTGTTTTTTTGTTCATGCTTTTAACCTTATTGTACCACCTGTTTTTTTGTTCATGTTTTTAACCTTATTGTACCACCTGTTTTTTTGTTCATGTTTTTAACCTTATTGTACCACCTGTTTTTTTGTTCATGTTTTTAACCTTATTGTACCACCTGTTTTTTGTTCATGTTTTTAACCTTATTGTACCACCTGTTTTTTTTCATGTTTTTAACCTTATTGTACCACCTGTTTTTTTTCATGTTTTTAACCTTATTGTACCACCTGTTTTTTTTTTCATGTTTTTAACCTTATTGTACCACCTGTTTTTTTTTCATGTTTTTAACCTTATTGTACCACCTGTTTTTTTGTTCATGTTTTTAACCTTATTGTACCACCTGTTTTTTTGTTCATGTTTTTAACCTTATTGTACCACCTGTTTTTTTGTTCATGTTTTTAACCTTATTGTACCACCTGTTTTTTTTTCATGTTTTTAACCTTATTGTACCACCTGTTTTTTTCATGTTTTTAACCTTATTGTACCACCTGTTTTTTTTTCATGTTTTTAACCTTATTGTACCACCTGTTTTTTTGTTCATGTTTTTAACCTTATTGTACCACCTGTTTTTTTGTTCATGTTTTTAACCTTATTGTACCACCTGTTTTTTTGTTCATGTTTTTAACCTTATTGTACCACCTGTTTTTTTTTTGTTCATGTTTTTAACCTTATTGTACCATCTGTTTTTTTGTTCATGTTTTTAACCTTATTGTACCACCTGTTTTTTTGTTCATGTTTTTAACCTTATTGTACCACCTGTTTTTTTTGTTCATGTTTTTAACCTTATTGTACCACCTGTTTTTTTGTTCATGTTTTTAACCTTATTGTACCACCTGTTTTTTTGTTCATGTTTTTAACCTTATTGTACCACCTGTTTTTTTGTTCATGTTTTTAACCTTATTGTACCACCTGTTTTTTTGTTCATGTTTTTAACCTTATTGTACCACCTGTTTTTTTTTCATGTTTTTAACCTTATTGTACGACCTGTTTTTTTGTTCATGTTTTTAACCTTATTGTACCACCTGTTTTTTTGTTCATGTTTTTAACCTTATTGTACCACCTGTTTTTTTGTTCATGTTTTTAACCTTATTGTACCACCTGTTTTTTTGTTCATGTTTTTAACCTTATTGTACCACCTGTTTTTTTGTTCATGTTTTTAACCTTATTGTACCACCTGTTTTTTTGTTCATGTTTTTAACCTTATTGTACCACCTGTTTTTTTTTGTTCATGTTTTTAACCTTATTGTACCATCTGTTTTTTTGTTCATGTTTTTAACCTTATTGTACCACCTGTTTTTTTGTTCATGTTTTTAACCTTATTGTACCACCTGTTTTTTTGTTCATGTTTTTAACCTTATTGTACCACCTGTTTTTTTGTTCATGTTTTTAACCTTATTGTACCACCTGTTTTTTTGTTCATGTTTTTAACCTTATTGTACCACCTGTTTTTTTGTTCATGTTTTTAACCTTATTGTACCACCTGTTTTTTTGTTCATGTTTTTAACCTTATTGTACCACCTGTTTGTTTTTTGTTCATGTTTTTAACCTTATTGTACCACCTGTTTTTTTCCCCATGTTTTAGCGTTCTATTTATTACTTTATCGTCAGCATTTTTTAATTTTTAAATAGAGTTTCTTTTTCTTCTTTGTAAGAATATAATTCTATCTTTAATATGTCTATAGTTTAAATTTCGTACTTCACGTTTTAAAGAAAAAAAAATTACTTGTTTACAATTGTTGTTTTTCTCTTCTTTTTTTTTCAAATTGCCTCAAACATGTTCGCCATATTCGCTTTAGTATTACAGTTTTCATCATCGACTTATGAGGACTGATACAGATTTACAATAATAATACATCTTTTAATAACGTAAAATTTCAATTTTATTTTTAAGCCTGGAAACGTAAATGTGTAAATAAATGATTATTTAATGCTCAGTATTGAGAAGAAAAGAAATGGCAATTAAAGAACGTATGGGTGATTCCAAGAATGTTCGTTGAATATGTACTCTATAAATATAATAACTGTCATAAATGGAATGCTGTTAGTTTTACATATATAATATTACATATATATATATATATTAGATTTTAAAAATATATAATTATGCAAAACATTATTATGATACAAATTTGTCTTATATTTGTGTAATTAAAAGTTTAATTTAAGGTTATAACTTATTCTGTATTTTTAATTTTTTTAAAATTCTTTTTTGAAAATAAGTGTTTAAAATTAAGTTGCTTCCCTTAATTATTGTTTCCAATGCAATTGTAAGTGTAATTAGTTATTCCGTGGCATCAGTTCAATTTGTCAAATATTTCCCATTTTGTTTTATCCCGAGTTTTTGTATTTTTAGCATTTACATCTAAATTATCATTTTGAATGAGGGACGGTGTGGTCGGGGGGAAGAGCTCATGGCTCCTAACTCGGAGGTCGGACCCCCGGGCAGATGAGACCCGTAAGTTGGGGACAGCAACCCATCTAGGAGAGAAAACGCTAAAGTGAAACAACTGTAGTTTGTCCATGGCTGGACAAAGGCTATGGAAGCAAATGCCAGAAAGAAAAGCTGGCTGAAGTCGAAGTCAACTGGTCATATAGAGCATAATGTGTTGAAAGGTAATTGTTAATTATGTTGGAGGAAATCCCGTCCAAAATTACAATTAAGAACGAGAAACAGAATACGATCAATGGCGGAACAAGACTATAATGCCTAAAATATCAAGACTGCAATGACTGATAAGTTATATCATGACTATAATTAGTTATATCAAGACTATAATGCCTGATTAATTATATCAAGACTACAATGACAGATAAGTTATATTAATACTATCATTAATTATATCAAGACTATAATTATTCATATCAAGACTACAATGACTGATTAATTATATCAAGACTATAATTAATTTTATCAAGACAACAATGGCTGATGAGAATCTTCAAAAATAAATCTTTGACAAAACGCTGTCAGAATGCTTTGTCGATTTTTGTTTGATTTATCTCTCAATAACAAACTAAATATTTACATCGATCGTTCTATTGGTAGGGGTAGTCAATAAATGACGTCAAGTAATCTTTACTCCCAATGACGTCATGCAATTTTTTACTCCCAATGACGCCATGTAATCTTTACTCCCAATGACGTTATGCAGTTTTTACTCCCAATGACGTCATGTAATCTTTACTCCCAATGACGTCATGCAATTTTTTTACTCCCAATAACGTCATGTAATCTTTACTCCCAATGACGTCATGCAGTTTTTACTCCCAATGACGTCATGTAATCTTTACTCCCAAATGACGTCATGCAATTTTTTACTCCCAATGACGTCATGCAATTTTTACTCCCATGTGTACTCTCACACATCGTCACAAAACGTCTGACCAGTGGCGTCACTAGGTCGGGTGTCACCCAGTGCGGCACCTCATGGTGTCACCCCCCCTCCTTTTTTCTCTGTAAATGTTTCAGTTAGTGTTACTCCCCCCTCCCCGGTAAAAGCTTTAAAGTGTTCACATTTAATACAATACTAAAGATGTTTATCTGTAGTAGGCTGTTAATAGGTATTGTTTGTAGACATTGTTTTCTCGATAGTTTACATAAAGCTCAATAAATTTTTAATTTTAAAAATTTTGACAGGGGCGAAGTGAAGCCAGGAAGCAGTAGCGTAGCGAGGGGCGGGGGGCGGGGGGGACATATGTCCCCGGGCGCCGACCTCAAGGGGCGCCAAAATGGGTTGGAAAAATAAATTGAAAGGTTGAGGGGGGGGGGTGCAAATCGAAATCTCGAGGGGGGGGGGGTTGCGAATCGAAAGTTTGAGGGGGGTTGCAAATCGAAATCTTGAGGAGGGGGGGTTGCAAATCGAAAAGTTTGTCCCTGGGCGCCGGGAATGGTCGCTACGCCTCTGCCAGGAAGGGAGTGTGTTTGTACTCTACAAGGTGGGAATGTAACGTCAAAATCCCCCCCTCTCGTTTCTCTCACACAAGTAAATGGTCATGGTTAGGATTAGAGGGATGGGTAGAGTAGTCAGAATTATGGTCATAGCTAGTAGTGTGGCTAGGGTTAGAGTTGTGGGAAGATTTAGGGTAAGGATATCATTTTATTTATTTTTTTACTTCACTGGTATGTGGGGTTTTTTTTTCTAACAATTTTTTCACTTGTATTTTGATGTTCCCCAACTACTCCCAACCCCTCCCCCCCCCCCACACACACACAAATATCACCTCATCGACTGACCTTGACACGCGCTGAGGTTCTCCGCCTGCCTGTACCCGGCGTTGCACGTGCATGTGTACGAGCCGTCTGTGTTGACACACTGGCCGTGAGCACACACCTTGCCCTTGTATCTCGCGCACTCGTCCACATCTGAGTAGTCAAATGGTAGGGGTCAGGGTGTGGGGGGGGGGGGGGGGGTGACAATAATTAAAATATTCATTTTAATTAAGATAATTATTTTTTTCTCCCAAGCGGTGGCACGTGTTAAATCAACTTAGCTGGACAATTAACTTCCTAACTAATTAGTGTTAGCTTGATGGTTACATTTTGATACATTCTTCTTGTAAATAATACGAAACAGACAAAAGGAAGTGTAACAGTAATTTCACTACTACTGGTCACTCCAAGGCTTCTTAACAGAGGCTGGGAAAACAGATGAACATTGCTTCATCTGCAATGTGGACTTTTAAGTCTGAGAGGATTTTTTTTAGGACAAAAACAATTTCTTTTTCTATTCTAGTTTTTCTATTCGTCATACAATAATTGTTAAAACTTATTTTTCAATAGCGCACATTACCAATTTTTTTAATAATTTTTTTTTAGAACTTATTTTTCAATAGCGCACATTACCAATTTATTATTATTTTATTAACTTTAAATAGCGAGGAGAGAAATTTTAATTTATTATTGGAAAACAAGACAATTTTTAAAACGACGATAAAATTCAGTCCAACGTAGCGGAAATAAAATTCAGTCCCAACGTAGCAAGGGAAAGAACTGTACAAACCCACACACGAGTGACCGTCTTCCCCGAGTTTTCTCCCTTTGGTTTCACATCGGCATTCGTAAGTGCCCCGTTTGTTGATACAGATGTCGTCACATCCGCCATTGTGATGACTGCACTCGTCGATATCTGGAAATTTCGGGAAAATTTCCGACATGGAATTTTAATCTGATAACGAAGTATGTAAAGGGGGGGGGTGTGTGTGTGGTAATATTTGTGTGTAGCAGGAACATGATTAAGCAGGAAAAATATAATTCTAGATAAAAACGTCACTAAATATTGGACAGCAAGTCGATTATACGATGATATGCAGCATTTATATGTAATGATGTGTTTGGAATAGGCAGAGTTTATTTCAGAAATCTCTTTGGGGGATGGGGGGGGGGGGGGCAGTGCCCCCATCTGAAAGCACATCCACTACCCCCAAACGAAATAGAGATTAAATAGAAAATATATACTTTTCACAGTGCCCCCCATCCCACCATCAAATTTAGATCACCCGCCCCCCCTTCCCCTCAAAAGTTTCAAGTACCCCCCCCCCCCCTCTAATCATAACCGCCCATACCATGCATACATGTCTACTACATATTATAATCATACCAGTAAGCACCCAGTTAATCAGTGTAAACTTAATCATACACCTTTACACCCAAATAAACCAAGCAATTACTAATCATACCAGACTGTAATTAGTACACGTTTTTTCTTTAGGTTGCTTTTTGTGTGTGTTTGTTAATATAATGTATATGTATGTATGTATTTATCTTTGTGTATGTGTTTGTTAATATAATGTATATGTATGTATGTATTTATATTTGTGTGTGTGTGTTAATACAATGTATATGTATGTATGTATTTATCTTTTTGTGTGTGTTTGTTAATATAATGTATATGTATGTATGTATTTATATTTGTGTGTGTGTGTGTTAATATAATGTATATGTATGTATGTATTTATCTTTTTGAGTGTGTTTGTTAATATAATGTATATGTATGTATGTATGTGTGTATCTTTGTGTGTGTGTATATATGCCTACTTAGGAACGATGAAAGTGTCTTAAATTTTTCCACCATATTTCACATCAACGCTGACTTGCTACACTGTCATCTGGTCGTGTAGCCAAACACTCATCGCCCGCTCTCCTTTCACATGCCACACCCAGGTCACGCCATGTATAAGCAGCTACTTAGTGCCCACACACATACTTTCTATTCTGTGATAATCTCACAGCCAGCATGCACGTGATGTGTTTTTCCACATGCTAAAAATAGCACTTTTTTCTAGTTTTTAAGTGGTTTATCCGGGTTTAAGTGTGAGCAACATATTTATCTATGCTTGACCTGATTCTATTTATAACACTGACTTGACCAGACATCGATGAGCTCGTTTAATCCTTACGCGACCTCATGCTTTATTAAAAAAACACTGCGGGATTTCCCCAAACACAACGGGTTTTCCCTGACGCGTCATCCGCAGCACATCGGGTTTTCCCGAAGCGTGAAGTCACCAACACACGACCTACCGGCGCAGTGGTCGGATGTCTCACTGCTGGTGAATCCGGTGATGTTGCAGTCACATTGGAAACTCCCCGGGAGGTTGATGCACGGTCCGGGGCACTGATTTACGCTCTTGTCGCACTCGTCAATATCTGAAACACACAACAGAACCTATATGAGATCGATTGACAAAAAAAAAATCAATAATATAAAAACAAACGTATAATATTGCATCTTTTTACCGCCCCCCCCCCTCCCCCCGAACGAAATGAAATTTATATTATTTATATAGAAAATATATACTTTTAACAGTGTCCGCCCCCCCCCCCCCCCCGAAGAAAGTTTACCGCCCCCCCCCCCCAAAATTTCAAGTGCCCCCCCCCCCCCGGAGAAAAAAGTCTGGAAGAAACCCTGCACACAACAGGTCATGTGTGAGTGGAATCGATTGGCCAGTTATAAAACTAGATATCGTTATAATATTACAACGAATAATGAGGAGGGATAAGTTAGCAGCGTTACAAGGCGAGTGCGTTGGGTGCGGATCACACTGGGTGACACCACAAAGCAATATGACTAATTTTAAAGAGGAAGTATAAGGTGTCACCAAATTGCCCGCACTTTAGCTACCCTGTATACTTTATATTTATCCAGTAGCGTAGCGAGGGGGGGGGGAGGAGGGGCACATATGTCCCCGGGCGCCGACCTTAGGGGGCGCCAAAATGGGTTGGAAAGATAAATTAAAAGGTTGAGGGCGGTGTAAATCGAAAGTTTGAGGGGGGGGGGGTGCAAATGGAAATCTCGAGGGGAGGGAGGTGCAAATCGAAAAGTTTGTCCCCGGGCGCCGGGAAGGGTCGCTAAGCCTCTGTATTTATCCCATAGTTTAAGTACATCATATATATATATATATATATATATATATATATATATATATATATATATATATATATATATAGTGAGAGAGAGAGAGAGAGAGAGAGTCATTGGTTAAGGAGGGGGTGATACCATGAGTTTCCACAAAGTATTTTACCCCACCTTGTGACGCCACTAAGATAAGTTACAGGTTTCAATAAGCGACTAGCACAACACACAAATTCCAATCGAATTTTTAAAAAATGGAATGCTTTAATAAGAAAAGTTTACTTTTTTTCTGATTTGTAAGGGAAAAACTATCTGCACATACAATCAAAAGACATTCTTTGAAGTGGATAATCTTTCTAATGTATACTAGGAAGAGTTTATATGTTACGGCGCGGGACGGGGGAGGGGAAGAAGATTGTAATAACGTTTTTAAAGAGGAAGAAAAAAACTTTTAAAATTTATTTTTAACATTCGACGAATTACTGTCTGTATTATGATGTATGATGCGTAGACTGGGTCTTAATAGAACGCTATTTCTTTTCTCATTTTTCAAAAGTATTCCTACATATCCGGGTGCCCCCCACCCCAACACCATTGATACCAGGACATATATAGCTCATATTAGCACATTATTTAACACGCGGTATAAAAGATAACTTCTAACAGATAAGTAGTCTTATATTTGCATTTATTTTAGAAAGATAAAATAAAAAAAAAATGCTAAGTTCAATTAAAATTAAAAGAATCCAATTATGTCTTCCCACTAGAAAGTAGTTCACACCATGATCACGTGACAAACTGTCATGGCGATCAATCAACCACGTGGGATATCTAGACAACAAAGGGAGAGCATTCTAAAAGAGATTTGCTTTTTCTTTTTCTATCTCTTCAGGATGTGACTAAAAATAATTCTGTAGTGGCTGCCTTTGTTTCAAACATCGTGTGGGGGTTTTAATTGCCCTGTTGTTTCATATAGCCACACAGATGGGACATAAAGCTGGTCTCATACGTCAAGTTTTTTGCCTAAATATGGTCAGATCACGTGGGACCCGGAGAAGTGGGATGGAGGGTCGGGGCCCACGCAAGTGACGTCACTGAGATACAGGGTGGGCCCAAGTGGGACGTCACTGAAAGCTACCCACGCTATGACGTAATACGATGACTGTCGCCAGATAATGGGTCCCGTTGGGACGTCACTGAAACTACCCCCATACTATGACGTAATACGATGACGTAACCAGACACTGGCCCCGTTGGGACGTCATTGAAGTGTACCCATGAAAAGACGTAACGAATAAAACTAGTATATCTTTTCAAACTCCCACTGTTTCTATTTTTAAACTTATTAAAACTCTTGTGCATAAGGCTTGAAATTATAGTTAAAAATAACTTAAGTAATTATTTTTCTTGTCACAAGTAATTTGTTTTAATGAGGTGTGTGATGGTGTTGCTCGAATGGTGAATGACGTGTGAGGTGACGTTTACACCATATGTATGACGTATCATTTACAACTGTATGGATGACGTATGACATGACATTTACAAATTATTGTTATAATGTGACATTTACACGGTATAGGTAACGGGACATTTAGCAGCTTCACATGACGTGACCGCTGGATCAATAGAGTACTGGTGGAAGAGATAACGTAGCAAGTGCAGTTAGATGAACCGCATCAACATCACCATGTTAGTCAACACACAACAACAGCAGCCCACGACAACAGCAGCCCACCATGTTACAACAGCAGCCAACCACACGACAACAGGAGTCTACCACACGATAACAACAACCCACCATACGTCAACACAACCACACGACAACACCAGCCCACCACACGACTACACCACCACACGATAACAACAACACACTACATACCTTCCCCCACAGGCAACAACACCACAAAAGGACACTAGCCCACCACACGACAGCAGCACCACACAACAGCAGCACCACACGACAATACCACCACACGACAACAACAACCCACCACATACTATCCCACCACAGGGCAACACCACCACAAAACGACACAAACCCACCACACGACAGCAGCACCACACGACAACAGCATCCCACCACCCGGACAAACGAATTGTTTTGATCAATTCTCCGCCCTCATTTCGAGAGCAACAGGTTCTATAAATAGCCGCGGAAAAGGTGCACCAAGATAACAGTGGGAGAGAGATTGTTTCCATCAATAGGTTGTTGATCCGATCCTCGTGCACGTCAGCGGGATTGTGGCATTAGTGGCTCTGTACCGACACGCATACAAACATACAAACACAAGCACATACAAACACAAGCACATACAAACACACCAGCACGTACAAACACACATTTTTGTAAACATGGATTGTCACGTGTCGTACTAACATATATATGTCCTTTCATGAATACACATAAAAATATACTTATACACAAACATATGGGCTTACGTACAGACATACAAACACAAACATAGAAACATAAAAGCAGACAAACACAGATATACATGGATAGCAGTTCGAGTAGGTCTGTATCATTACTGACTTACCACAGATAACTTTAAAACAAACATACATGCTATCACATTTAAACAATAAAAACACAGTAATCTAATTATAGAATGGTGACAAGAAAGATGCGCAACGGAAAACTGCGCAACGGAAAACTGCGCACAAAAATGTGCCCAAGGGGATTTTTTTTTTTGTTGAATTGATCATTTATAGACGTTAGCAAAGAAGGAATACATGTACTTTGTAGCATAACAAAGCATTTTTCTGCGATATATGACAAGATTAAAGAGTAATAGCATAATTTCTGTTTGCGCATTTTTTTCCGTTTGCGCATTATTTTGGGATTCATCACATTTAAACGCATAACGATGTGACCACACGCATGAATGATTGTCTTATATAATTTGTTTTGCTCTACCCATTGATTGAACGTTTACATATATCAGCATAATTTGTAGAGTTGTAGGCGGGGTGGGAGGGGGTGTTTTGATCATGGGGTGTACTTGTTCCGGAGAACTTGTAAGGCGGTGGCGTAACCGGGTGGTGTGTGGTGGAGGGAGGTACAGGTGTCACACAGTATAGTCATATACCATAACAATATATGTCTTGGATATGTTCGATGTGAGCTCTTTATTTTATTTCATCGATAATCTAACTCTAATCCTTGCCCTAAATCCACCCCTTACAATATCCATGGTTATATCCTGACCATTTCATTGTTACTAGCCTTGACGCTAATATTACATATTACCCTAAAAGCAATACTAGCAGTAATCACGATACGACACTATATTACTCACACGTTGGCACATTACGACACTACATTACTCATACGTTGGCAGATTTGTCAATGTCAGATAGTGGAATATGTATCAGTGTCATTTTGACAGTATTTTTAATTATAACCAGTCCCGATAAATTCTTAGTTTAAAAATATAAAATACTGTATTTCCCATTCGAAACAACTAAAAAAAAAAGAACAACTAAAAAACTAAAATTAAATAATTCTGATATGTTCCAAACTAAAACTAAGTCCGTCTTGTTTATTTGTTAAAATAATAACACCATTCTTATTGCCACTACTATGCTTAAAAGATAATTAATACGCAAGAAATTATATTGCTATTTCCGCATTCCACGTTCTGTCTACGAAATCATGAACATCAACATGGTTACTGCGCATGTCCATTAACCCCGCCCCCCCCCCCCCCTCACTCACCACTTACACGCTATCATCATTATCGCGATGATCATGAAAAGAGCAAAGTCCGATAACTCCTGTTGTCATCAATCATTGAATTAATGCTGTTGTCTAAGCGTTCCCTCATCGTTTCACTTCTGGCTGAAGTCAATAAGTGAACATGGCTGTGGCGTGTGGGTGTGTGTGGGTGTGTGTGGGTGTGTGTGGGTATGGGGGGGGGGGTAGGATAATGGGTTTAGTGAGCGTGAAGGCATCAAACAACCTGTCTATAGTAAAGTTCCCCTTCCAAGCCTGACGGTCTATGTGGCAGGTGAAGTAGAGTTCAATTATATCTGTGACCTCGGCATATGGATAGTGTCGTCAGCACTATGCCAAGTCGCCTTTACTTAGGTACCCATCAGAGCTGGGTGGACTCAGGGACGGTCAAACTGACTTGAAACCGGATTCGAACACTAGACTTACGGGTTAGCAGTCTAGCTCTCTATCGCTAGGCCACTCCGTCCCATACCTGCCTACAGAATTTTACAAAAAATGTGTCAATACCTATTAAGACGCCCCCCCCCCCTCCTATACAGCCAGTAGGGGACTGTTGGGTAGCGGCTTAAAAATTCCTCTTCCAAAGGTTAGATCGTGTATGTTTATGAGTTGCTTCATTTGGGTGGGGTGGGGGGGGGGGGGTCTCGATTGAAAAAGGTAAATATTATTCTCAAACGTACTTAACGCCATATTAGCATAATTCCAATTAACTACCTGCCAACGCAGAAGCTAATTAACTGAACAGAACAATAAAGTTAATGAACTTCCGATCAAAGTCCATTGACATGTAAACCATTTTCATTTGAACCCGTATTAGAAACTTAAGGTAGTTGCCCAGGAAAATTATTTTTAAAAAATACACAAACTATTCTTGGCTATTGAAAGCTATCTTGGCCTTATCAATGAGGTTAATTAATTAACATGAAATGAAGAAGGTGTGGGTCTTGATTACTTATTTTAATTATTACAGCTTTAAACTATCTGGGTCAAACAGGTGAATTCCAATTTGAAGTTGGTCCGGGGTCAAAGGTAAGCGAATTATGTAAGTCAGTGAACTGTATGGGCAAGCTGTCCACAGGATAGGTGAGGTAGAGCGCACCAGTTTCTATAGCTATACTAGCGATTATAGTAGGTGCTGTCCAGTCATTCGATGTGCACTCAACGCTGGTTGGATAGTCCCGATATAAAGGATTGGTTGGTTCTGATATAAGGGATTGGTTGGTTCTGATATAAAAGATTGGTTGGTTCTGATATAAAGGATTGGTTGGTTCTGATATAAAGGATTGGTTGGTTCTAAAGGATTGGTTGGTTCTGATATAAGGACTTGGTTGGTTCTGATATAAAGGATTGGTTGGTTCTGATATAAAGGTTTTGTTTGTTCTTATATAAACGATTGGTTGGTTCTGATATAAAGGGTTGGTTGGTTCTGATATAAAGGATTGGTTTGCTCTGATATAAAGGATTGGTTGGTTCTGATATAAAGGATTGGTTGGTTCTGATATAAAGGATTGGTTTGTTCTTATATAAACGATTGGTTGGTTCTGATATAAAGGGTTGGCTGGTTCTTACATAAAGGATTGGTTAGTTCTTATATAAACGATTGGTTGGTTCTGATATAAAGGATTGGTTGGTTCTTATATAAAGGATTGGTTGGTTCTGATATAAGGGCTTGGATAGTTTTGGTAAAAAAAGGTTGGTTAGTTATGATAGAAAAGGGTTCATTGGTTCGACGCTTCATGGTAACTTTAAGGACTGTTAGGGTCACTCTCCCTCCCCACCCCGGAACCCTCCCTCCCCCATATAGAAATTATACTTTCACCAGTACCCCCCCCCCCCCTCCTAAAGTTTCAAGTGCCCTCTTCCCCGGTTAAAAAACTTTTGAAAAAAAACCCCTCACATATCACTCTGTGTATGTATTTTAAACACTAAGGAGTGCCATACATACTGCTGTCATCGGTGTGGCCATTTCGGGACCTGAACTGACAACACTAGTGTTAGCATTTGAAATGTTTACCTCTCGACCACTCCTTGCCATGCGGCTAGAATGTGAGTCAGCGAAATGAAAAGTCACGACATAGGGCGAGACTATGTTGTTTTCCCGGTGGGATATGGGACGAGGAAGGTGATTCGGCAGAAATGTATTCAGACTTGGAATCCCTGAGTGTGATTTGAATAGCGAGGTTGGCGTGGTCGGTTTGGTTTAGCTCATGGTTGCTGAACCGAAAAGTTCTGAGTTCTATACCCCGGGGAGATGAGGCTCGATAGCTGGGGACATTCACTTATCTACGAGAGACAACCACAAAACAGCTTCCTTGTAGTTTGTTCTTGGTTGGATAAAAAGAAAAAAGCAGGCTGAAATAGGCGTCAACGACCTATATTTAGCATAACAAGTAACTAAGTAGAATCATTCAGGAAAATGTAATTCGCCAGTTCGTGAATCGGCAGAAATAATTTCTGAAATACGTGATTCGGCAATCAGAGATTAAGAAAATTCGGCTAGAAAATATTCGAAGGAAAAGGGAAAAAGTGGATACGACTTACGTCATTTGTCAGGGTGAATGACACACACATTTAGGCAAGAGAATATTAACCAATCCCGTTGTAGCTTTACCATGATGCCACACAGTGGTCCCCATTGTCTGGTCCCCCCACTTAATTTTAACCAGTATAGAGTTTATAATATAATGTAACACACGTTAGATAAGATAACCATCTACGATATTTGCATCAGTCTCCAAAACGTAAGATAAAATTCACTCAGGTTATGAGATAACAGATAGTTCCGCGAGTGACCGGAAAAATGCGGAACGGAAAAATGAACAACAAAAACTGCGCAATAAAATCGCATGGAATATTTTTTTAATCGATAATCTAAAGACGCAGAGAATCATCTCATACATAATGTTGCATAATTAAACAAATGTATGTTATATATGCAAAATTAAACTGTATCAATATAATGCGTTTGTTATTGCGCATTTTTCCGTTTTCTTAGATTTCCTTTGCGCATTTTTTCCGTTGCGCATATATTTTAAAATATTATTTTGGTAACCGTTCCACACATTACATGAAGTTTAGACTTCGGTCCTTGGTATCAGAAACTGAAGAACCCCTGGTGTTAACCTGTTTAGCACAGTGAAACAGTTCACATCCGTTTATTTCCTGTACGGTAATTAATGATCAGCACTAACCGCTGTTCATGATAGCAGCCGGTGAACTTTGAACTTAAGATAGCCCGTAAACAAGAGAGATATGTTTCTACCTTGTACTACTCAGTCATTGGTATGAAAACAAAAACAAAACTTTGTTTTCAGTATGCAAAGAGGGATATTGTTTTGATCTCAAATAGGTGTACGGTTCTTAAATTACAGTACATAGGGCATACCGAGTAGAGTTCATGATTGTTTTTTGGCAACAGCAACTATAAGATAGGGGAATGTGGACTGTTTATAAAATCTAAGACAACTGTGAGTATGTGGGGGTGGGAGAAAATATCCTGTGGGGGTGGGGGATTGTATTAAACCATGGAAGCTTTTCTGTGTCTCTTACTGCTGCCTATAAGAAGAATAACTATGGCAGTTGTGAGATTAGGCAGCAGCTCCTAAGATAATGTAGGAACCGCTAATACGTAGACAGCTTAAAGACGTAGGCAGTAGGTTAGATACGTAAGCGGCTCAAAGACGTAGACTAGACAGCTGTGATACGCCAACAGTAGTATGAGTAGGTAGGCATCAGTTTAAACATGTAAATAGTAGCATGGACACGTAAGCAATACCTCAAAATACGCAGACAGCAGTTAAGATATTAAAGCAGTAGATCAAAATTCTCAAATACTTAGGCAACAGCTTACATGTGATACATTGAACATAACTCGAGTTAGTCAGCATTCGCTCAAAATTCTAGGTAGCTTCACTTGAGTTTACCTAATTATACGATAGTATTTAAACCATGTAAAAATTACCCACTTAAAACCTCGTCATAGAGCAGTGTGCTGCAACCCTTCTACACTTAGACGTGACGTTGTTTGTTTAGTTTATTGCACTCAACAAGAGCAGTTCAGCACTTGTGGGTAAACACAGACTTTAGTTTATTACTGTATACTGGAGTTATGTCTGATCAAATAGGTTTAGATGATAATAAAACACCGAGTCAGCATTGAATAACGAGTCTATATTATGATGATACTATATTGGGACTTTATTAGGTAAGGGTAGTTACGTGAGTTTTTTTTTTTAATATTCAGAGCTTTCGTAGGCTGATTTTAGTAAGGAATGCACGAAAGGGGAAGGGGGGAGGCAGGTCTTTTACAGTGTCAGACAAGAGTAAGTTATTGGGAACAGATGCATAACAGAGTAGCCGGGCATGTCTTGGAGACAGTAAGACTTGGTTTTCTGTGATGCTGGTAACAAGCACACTACCTATTCACGTGGGGTAGGGGTGGAGAGGGGGGGGGGGGTTAAACTACCATGGAGGAAAATTTACGGGGAAGGGGGTGACCTCTGGGGGGGGGGTAGGGCTGCTGTCATACCTCTCCATCAGACTTGGTCAACGACTCTCTTTATGTGCGCCTATGTAAGCTCGGCAGCCCTTGTCTCATCTTCTACTCTCCCCCTCCAGGATTTCCTTGCCCGGCCTACTTTCCTCTTCCCCCGGGGATTCCAGTCTAATGTTTTCCCCTCGATGTTGTCCTCTACCCTTCTCATAGTTCCTTCTCTGTTTGAACTTAGTTCCTCTAACCTCATCTCTTACACTCTCCTAAGTAATTGTGTAACCCGATTGTTTCTGAACCACTTTACCCTCCAACACATCAAATGTACCCAACACTAGACCGGAGCATGAGGTGAGATAGCTAGTCAGACACATCAAATGTACCCAACACTAGACCGGTGCATGAGATGGCTAGTCAGACACATCAAATGTACCCAACACTAGACCGGAGCATGAGATAGCTAATCAGACACATCAAACGTACCCAACACTAGACCGGAGCATGAGGTGAGATAGCTAGTCAGACACATCAAATGTACCCAACACTAGACCGGTGCATGAGATGGCTAGTCAGACACATCAAATGTACCCAACACTAGACCGGAGCATGAGATAGCTAATCAGACACATCAAACGTACCCAACACTAGACCGGAGCATGAGGTGAGATAGCTAGTCAGACACATCAAATGTACCCAACACTAGACCGGTGCATGAGATGGCTAGTCAGACACATCAAATGTACCCAACACTAGACCGGAGCATGAGATAGCTAATCAGACACATCAAACGTACCCAACACTAGACCGGAGCATGAGGTGAGATAGCTGGTCAGAGCAGGAACAACATTTCCCAACAACGGATACATTACTGGCTGCAAGTACACAATCTACCAGAAGGAACTAGAAATTTTCAAAGAAACTCGCCCCCTCCCCCACCCTACAAAGTTTGTAGTATTGATTGGTCCATGTTTACACAGAGAGCAATACAGATTCCCGAAATAGCCGGATATAAATAGAAATTATTGAAGGCTAATGGCACTAATTCCTGCTTGTTTGTTTTCTCCTACAGGTAAAATGTCTTTCTTTTCAGGTGAAATATCTTCTCTACAGGTAAAATGTCTTTCTTTTCAGTTGAAATGTCTTCTCTACATGTAAAATGTCTTTCTTTTCAGGTATAATATCTTCTCTACAGGCAAAATGTCTTTCTTTTCAGGTATAATATCTTCTCTACAGGTAAAATGTCTTTCTTTACAGTTGAAATGTCTTCTCTACATGTAAAATGTCTTTCTTTTCAGGTATAATATCTTCTCTACAGGCAAAATGTCTTTCTTTTCAGGTATAATATCTTCTCTACAGGTAAAATGTCTTTCTTTACAGTTGAAATGTCTTCTCTACATGTAAAATGTCTTTCTTTTTAGGTGAAATGTCTTCTCTACAGGTAAAATGTCTTTCTTTTTAGGTGAAATGTCTTCTCTACAGGCAAAATGTCTTTCTTTTCAGGTGAAATATCTTCTCGACATTCAAAATGTCTTTCTTTTCAGGAGAAATATCTTCTCTACAGGCAAAATGTCTTTCTTTTCAGGTGAAATATCTTCTCTACAGGCAAAATGTCTTTCTTTTCAGGTGAAATATCTTCTCGACAGGCAAAATGTCTTTCTTTTCAATTGAAATGTCTTCTCTACAGGCAAAATGTCTTTCTTTTCAGGTGAAATATCTTCTCTACAGGTAAAATGTCTTTCTGTTCAGGTATGATGTCTTTAAATACAGTTACAATGAATATATGTTAATTGCCTACATACAGTTATACAACCAGGAAACGTACTTATCACGTGATGCGACTGTGACGTCACCACCAAGCGGTAATTCAGCGGTGACGTTCCCGAAAATTGATATTTGAAACCTCAAAAAAGCCGCACCAAAAATAGACAGATATCAGTGCTATATAAAGTAATCTTCTGACGGAAATAAACAGCAAGGTGCAGGGGTGGGGGAGGGGGAAGAATCAAGGAAAACACTAAAATGTGGATTACATTAATAGACATAATGAAGGTATTATACTAACACATGCCTATGTGAATTATATTAATACAGGCAAGACTTGGAAAAGTGAATTACATTAATACAGGAAACACAGGTCTATGTGAAATACGTTAATACAGAAAGACAGGGTAATGTGAATTAGGTTAATACAGGATAGACAGGGTAATGTGAATTAGGTTAATACAGAAAGACAGGGTAATGTGAATTAGGTTAATACAGGATAGACAGGGTAATGTGAATTAGGTTAATACAGAAAGACAGGGTAATGAGAATTACGTTAATACAGGAAATACAGGGATATATGTATTACATTAATACATGAAATACATGGATGAGTGAATTACATTAATACAGGAAAGACGGGGATATATGTATTACATTAATACATGATATACATGGATGAGTGAATTACATTAATACAGGAAAGGCGGGGATACGTGAATTACATTAAAACAAACAAGACATTACAATGTAAATTACATTAAGTGATATTTGAATTAAATTGAAACCATCGATTAAAAGACAGAAATTAAACAACAAGAGACTTCAAGGAGAAAGCAATCCCGCTATTTTTAGCTTCTGCCGAAACTAACACAGAACTATACAAGGATCAACCCAGCACTAATTTTGGTTTTTACCAATATCAAATTGTTTACTAGCCAAAACCAACACAGGACTGTACAAGAATCAACCCATCACTAATTTTTTTTCTACAAATTTAAAATTATTTACGTTAACCCTAGTCGAAACCAACACTGCCAACACAGGACTATACAAGGATCAAACAATCACTAATTTTGCTTTTACCTATTTCAAATTGTTGACGTTAACCCTAGCCCGTATCTCTAGATCATGTCCTCCCTATTAATTTCATTTGCACGATTTAATTTCAATGAAACAAACAGACAATTATTATTGAAAAAACAAAACAAAAAACAACAACGACGGATCTCTGTGATATCCGGATATTCTTTAGAAAAAAAAACAATATCAGGGGTTCTCAAAGGTTAGGGTTGGCGGGCATTGCCACACTTTTGACACCAAGCATTAGACACCCCCCCCCCCCAACCTCCCAGTACGAGGGCTTTGCATGAAATGTGTGTACGTTGAAACCTTCAACAGCGGAGCTGTGCACTGTGTGCATCTCTTTGGGAGGGAGAAGGGGGGGGGGGCATACCACTATCAACCCTACCCCAATCGAGAACATACACCACTCCTCCTCTCGGATGAAATAGTAAAATAAAATATATGTATATATATAATATTGAAAGTATTTACTTTTACTAGTGTCAACCCCTTTCGGAAATTGCAAGTACCCACCCCCAAAGGGAGTCTACCACACCCCCCCCCCCGGAAATTTTAGTCCGCTGGAAATCTGGAAGAAACATTGCCCCTATTACAGGTAAAAAGTGTCTGAAAGAAACCTTGAAGTCGTGTGTTGACAAGGATAGCAACATCTTTCAACCTGGATTCTTGTTTTTTGAGTTAAACAACATATTTCTATATTTCTTTTAAATTCTCTTATTTACATAGCTTGGTCGAGCAAGTGAGCGCTGGAAACAGTTTAGTTCAGTTCCCGGCTTCTCGGTCTCGTCCAAATGATAATCTCTAACCCTGGGAATATCAAAGGCGGCTGATCAGGCGTTTGGTTGTGAGAACCTTTGTTTTTTTGTGTGTATAAAAAGACAATGACACCCGCCATATCCTGTTGTAGCCAGGACTTTACTTGGAACATCTTTAAACCCTAGACCTCACACACGCAGTAGTCAAAACACAACACAGCACACTATTGTTGCCAAACAGGACGAGAGTAGCAGGCCAACGTGGCATACATGTCATATAGCTGGTCTAAATATAGATGTTGAAATAAGTTCCTGAAATCTTAAGAGTTTCGCCAGACAATATAAAAAATACGTGAAATGGGAGATCTGGTGAAAGATACTACCTATAAACAACAGTTTCTTTCAGGCGTCTCTCCAGGGATTTAACCCTATCCGGTGTAGATATATTTTAACCAGCAACCGACCCACATCCCCCCTACCTTCCAAACTTAAAAGTGCTCTTCACCACTCCCCTCCAGGAGAAAAATGTCTAAAACATTATCTGATACACTAAATAACAAAAATCTCCATGACTATGTTAGATCTTATCTCTCTCTCTCTCTCTCTCTCTCTCTCTCTCTCTCTCTCTCTCTCTCTCTCTCTCTCTCTATATATATATATATATATATATATATATATATATATATATATATATATATATATATATATATATATATATATATATATATATACATGGTGACAGGACAAATGATCTCAGGACAAATGATCTCAGACAAAATATCTCAGACAAAATATCTCACGGACAAATGATCTCAGGACAAATGATCTCAGGACAAATGATCTCAGGACAAATGATCTCAAGGACAAATGATCTCACGGACAAAAGATACCAGGAAAAATGATACCGTGGTCAATTGATCTCAGACAAAATATCCCAGACAAAATATCTCACACCTAAATTGTAATAGTGTATTGTGTGATTTTAGTTGACCTGAACATTATTTTTTATTTACTATTATATGGTTTAGTTTACTATGTTTAATATTGTTTATAGGCTTATATGATAATTGTAAGAAATGTTTGCCGTATAAATTTGTCATATGGCACTAGATATTTTAACATTAGGATTACTAATATAGTATGCGAAGATTAAAGAAACCTTTTCGATAGACATTTGGCTTGCAAAACATGATACAATCCAACTATGTCAGGTGTACGAAACTCAATCAAATGGAATGAAATAGCAATAAAGATACACCTTCGTATCAAGGTGGCAGTCCGCTTTGATGGCAGAGACATGCGTTAAGGGAAAGACATCATCCCTCCATGGACAATATAGGGCTGGAAAGTATGTCACCAACCAGTTATATGGCTCATGCAGGTTTTATTGAGCGTAGAACTGGTTGGTGACCTACTTACCAGCCCTATAACTAGCACCTAAAGTCAATAGTTATGAGTCGGTCACACCTTAGTGATCAGGTGACAAATGCTTATTTAAGAGAAACAGCGGTCATCGCGGAGCTAAGTTTACCGCCCCCCCCCCCCTCGAATGAAATGAAATTTATATAATTTATATAGAAAATATACTTTTAACAGTGTCCGCCCCCCCCCCCCCCAAAGAGAGTCTACTGCCCCCCCCCCGAAAATTTCAAGTGCCCCCCCCCCCACCCGGAGAAAAAAGTCTGGAAGAAACACTGGTAGTGTGCATGCTAACAAAGCAGTAATAGTGGTATAGGACATTCGTTTCTGGTGAATTTATGTTTATAAAAGCCATAAGTGGAGCAGCAGGCAAAGATATTTGGAAATGTGAAGCTAGAAAATGTCGAGCAAGAGTTCACACAATAAATGATCACATAATTTTACATTACGAACCTTCAGACCCATTCACATTTTTGAAAAATATTTCGCGTGTTTTGAACATTAATGTTGTATAGCTACCATTACTTTATTTTTTTAAACATCATCATTTATTATACCTTTCAGGTTAAAGGAGTAAGTTTGTTTTAATTTTTACTTTTTCAAATCAAATGCTATTACAAAGATTAAGTTTAATAAATATTTTTATGGTTAGTCAAGTTTAAAATTCATTTTATTCACAATTATGATGCGTTAAAAAGTAAACTAAACCAGATTGACACTCAATAAAAAAATTTCAAATCAACTAAAATCATTGTGCATTCTATCAAAATTTTGCTGAGAGATATTTTGATTGAGATATTTTGTCTGAGATCATTTGTCCATGATATCATAGAACCTATATATATATATATATTTATATATATATATATATATATATATATATATATATATATATATATATATATATATATATATATATATATATATATAATTTGTATACGTCACTTTTATTCTTTTATTTATTAACAACACAAACCCTACAAGCGCCGCTATATGAAATATATAAGCTACTAGTCAGTGTGTGTTTAACGACAGTTTAAAATCACATTCCATCTTTTTGTCTTACAAACAACAACAGGTAGTGGTGTCAAGCTGTAAGTATGTCACGGATTTGACAGGAATAGACAGATCTAGGTTCAAGTGCAGCACACATATGTACATACACACACACACAAACACACACAAATATATATATATATATATATATATATATATATATATATATATATATATATATATATATATATATATATATATATATATATATATATATATATATATATATATATATATATATATATATATATGGATAGCTGTGTCTACATAATATATAGCTTCTGTCCAGCGTGTTCTACGATACCCCTCCCCCTCACTACTTAACCCTTCCCCCCCCCACACACACCTCCACAACACACACAAACAATCCTTACATTGGCTGTGCGTTCACCGAACAGGTAGTTTAATGTCTGATACAACTTTAAAAGGTCCAGGTTGTTGAGATGATACATGGAGGGAGTAATGAGAGGTGACACAGGAGTGAGGGAGAGGTGAGACAAGAGGGAGGGAGAGTTGAAAAAGGAGGGAGGGAGAGCTTAGACACAGGAAAGAGTAAGAGGTGAGACAAAGAGGAAAGAGTAAGAGGTCAGACAAAGAGGAAAGAGTAAGAGGTCAGACAAAGAGGAATGGAGAAGTGAAACAGGAAGGAATAAGAGGTGAGATAAAGAGGAAGGAGAGAGGTGATACAGAGGAGGGAGATTTTAAACAGGTGGGAGTAAGAGGTGAGACACAGACGAGTGCGAAGAGCGACACAGAGTGACAGGTGAGACACAGAGAATGGAGTTCAAAGTGAGATACAGAGGAGGAAGATATAGGAGCGATATACGAATGAGTGAGAAAAGAGAGGTGATAAAGGAGAGAGTAGAGATATAGAGGGAGCATTGAGAGGAAACACACACAATGAGGGACAGGTGAGACCCAGAGGCTGGAGGGGAGAGAGGAGACAGAGGGAGAGGAGATAACAGAGGCAGGTGGGAGAGAGGAGACAGATGGAGAGGAGAGACAGAGGCAGGTGGGAGAGGGAGACACCTAAACCCCTGCCGTATCCTGTTCCACATAACCCATTACCGGACCCGGCTGACCCGGATATGACGTGGCCGAGCAGGTAGTCCAAACATGAAAACAAAAATCCCCAACCTGGGGTTATCTGTCCCGGGCAATAATTAGTATCCTGTCAGGTGCCTACCTGTAATGGCTGAATCACACCTGCACCGTACACAACCGGCTTGGTGGTTTAGAGACTCAAATAGTTGTAGGCGCTAGTTATAGAGCTGAAGGTTTACACAGTGTAGGCAAAACTCAGCCGTGGCTGATTTGTAATCTCATCATGCGATAGGATTTATCTTGGTCACCATGATGCCCGTTCCCGTTTATAGTTCTAGACAAAGACTAACTAGTGGGTGTGTAAAGGAGGGGGGGGGGGGCAGACTGGTGGACATGGAAACGTCATTTAGGAGGATAGGAACCCATTATAGCTGAGTGAGCTCAGGGTACTAATGGCCGTGGAAATACATCCACCACTTGGGAGGATAGATACCCATTATAGCTGAGTGAGCTCAAAAGAACTTATAGATGAGGACATATTAACATCTGTTGGGAGGATAGGAACCCATTATAGCTGAGTGAGCTCAAGGAAGTTACGGACGTTGATATAGAACCACTAGATGGGAGTATAGGTATCCATCACAGCTGAGTGGGCACAAGGTCGCATGAGATTAATGCCAGGAAACCGTCAGGGCTGGGTGGAACAAGATCGAATTAAGAATTAAGATTGTGAAATGTAAAACTCAACAGCTATTGCAACGATTAAACGATTGAATGTAATACTTGTTAGAGCCTACATGTAACTACGCATGTATTAAGTTTTTTATGGTGGGGTGATCTCTAATTATATCCAGTAGTCTTTTTACAAGTGATAGCATAATTCTCTTTGTAATTATCATGTTACGGATAGTTTGTTCTTTGTGTATATTCCCTGTATATATCCACTTTCCCATTTAAAACCAAGGGAATATGGCATATACAAGTGACTTATGTTCTCACTTCCCCCAATTTTACGAGGTAACCTCCCTTTAATAGTGTTTATTTTTACAAAACCACAAGTGACTAGCGTGTTAACTCCCTTCCTTTCATGAGGTACCCTCCCTTTAGTTATCTTGTTGTTTTTTTTGCTTTTAATAAGTTTTATTAACCAGGTTTCTGTCACAAAAACACAAGTGACTAGTGTGCTAACTCCTTATCTTTCATGAGTTACCCTCCCTGTGTCTGGTTTCCCTTTCAACCAGGTTTCTTAAAAAACAAACACACAAGTGATTGGTGTGTTAACACTGCTATGAAAAAAATATTTTCCCAGTTGTCCCTCAATTTAAAGATTTTCTGCATCACTCATCAAACCAGAATGGTAGCCATAATGCCATCCAACCATTTGAATATCTAACACAAGACAATACTACATACATCCAACAATTTAAGTAATTTACACAGACATCAAACCAATTAAATATCTACCATAAGACACCACACATCCAGCAATATAAATGATTAGCATACAACACACCACACATATAAAACAAACATCTTTAACACCATACCACATACAACAAACCTACTCATTCAAAACTTTTAAACAGACAAACACAAAGATCTTTACACAAACTAAGAACAATATTTTTTTCAAACAAATGTTTTTATTTGTCAACAACCATTACTCATGTTTATTACTCATAAACAATTAAGAAAATAATATTTCTGAAAATGTTTTTTTTTTTATCTAACAACATTCTGTAACAAAAATACTCTTTCTTTCTTCAGCTTCAGTATATATAATAATACATGGATACGTTCTCTTAATGTTATTAAAGATTAAATTCATATGATTGGAAAATGAAGGCAAGTTTATTTAATCTTTTCTTTTAATTGTCAAATTAAGAGGGGATAATCATTAAATTAAGTTGATAATTAACATTAAATAGGGGTGATAGGATAACAAATTTCTATGATGTACACAAATCCCTCTAAAATTATTTCTTAACCCAAAACATTAATCAGTAATAAAGCATAGGAATTATTTTTTTATACTCTTTAAAACAATAGAACAGTTCAGAAAAAAAAAGATTTTAAAAGGATCAAAGTAAACGCAGACAAAATAATTATCACAAATTGAAATAGAACCATGTAACAAGTAAATTCAGATTCATCAGGATAATGATATGCATCAAATAAAACAATCTTTTTATACAACGTTAAAATTTAGAGTTTAATTTTTAGATAGTACAGTATCATTTTTTTTAAAGGACAGGCACTTGCTTATAAAGTCTTTGGCAGATAAAAGCAAGACAGATTGGAATGTTCTAGAATAAACACACTAGTAAGAGGATTACATCAGTTCTATACAAAACAACTTTAAAAGTGTTTGTTGAAAGAGATACAGCACTAAATGAGAAGATACTGTGGCATTAGTTTAATATACAAGTTAAAACATAACTTAGAACAATTATTTACATTGACAGTTTCAAAGCCTAATATATTAACATTTTAATATTCAAATGACAAAACATAATAGGTTTTCGGCTTAATAAAGAGTGGAACAAAACTCTGAATAATTATGTGACAATTTGAGGGATGGAGGTGAAATTTTAAGGCATGGTTTGGAATATGGAAATAGGAAATAAAAACTACATTATTTTATTGCTGGAATGTGGGATTAGAATTAACAGATTATTAAAAAAATAATGTTTTGGGTAGTTACATTCCAAACAAAGGATGGGTAATTCTAGTTTTTAATTAGTAGATGGGAAACGTTTGTTTTTTCATTCACAGGTTTTGGGTTAAGTATAACAAACACCAAGTGAAAGATATCAGTAAAATATGTTCTTGATGATAGTTCTTCTAAGGTAATAAACCGGGTCTACCATGTTTCGTGTTGTGCATTTCATTTGCATTTTGAGTTCTTGATATGCCTCTCCAGGTCACGCCCCCAGGTAAAACTAGCAGAGCACCTGCTGCAGACGTAAGGTGGTGCGCTGGGGTGCCGGGTGGTGCGGTGGTACTTGAGGTCATCCCCCCTGAAGAAGGCCAGGTCACAGAGGTCGCACTTGTACGGCCGCTCGCCAGTGTGGACGCGGGCGTGCCTGTCCCTGTTGGGGCGGGTGGTGAAGGTCTTCATGCAGTGCTCACACAGGTACCTCTTGTGCAGCTCCACGCTGTGGGCCTCAAGCTCCGTGAACGAGCTGAAGTTCTCCTTACAGAAATCACAACTGTGCGGGTTCAGCGCCTCCATCCTGCTCTGCTTGGATCTGGCACTGTCCTTGATGTTCATGGACTCGATGTTGATCTCACTCACAAGGTCAGATTCCACCATGGGTTCAGTCTTGACAACGGCCAAAAGAGGAGTTTCAGGCGCCAGGGTTTCTGGGGATTTCCTTACAGTCTGTGGCAGGCAGTGAGTGTTGCATTCTTCATCAGCCAGTATAGTCGGTAACAAAACTGGGCTACACTCTCTCTGCTGGTTGACAGGTCTAGCATTCTGCAGATGCATTTTTGGTCCAGCAAATTTCATTCCTCTGGCGACGTAGTATTTTTCCGCCAGTTCAACCATTTTTTGTCTACTGTATGGGTAAAACCTCAGAGATGTTTTGTTGGGGTTTCCATTTGAGTCTGACTGGTTTAAAATCCTTTCAAGGTTATTCATCCCGCCACTCCTGTTTTTGTCCCCACTGCCTGGACTGACCGGGGACACGTACTTATGAGACCTGAAGCCTCCGCACACAGGACTGACAGCTTTCATCCAACTCCTCTGGCCGTTGGAGAGTCTGAGGGCCTCGTCGTTAACCTTAGATTCCTCCTGGACCGAGCTCATCGAGTGGTCAGCGTTCTTAGGCTCCTGCGTCAGATTGTAGGCTTCAGCCGTATAGCCATTTCTGGGTATACAAATTTCTGAAAGTCCTGCTGGTCTTTGGCTAGGAGTAAAAGCACTGGCGGATCTTGGACTCATCTGATCAGGTACTGGGGCCTTCTTCAAGCTCAGATCAAGAAGTTCACCTTGCGTGTCAGTGTCCTGTGGCAATGGAACTGGTGGCGGAGGAAAAGTGACCACAGATTTCACAGCCGGCCACTGGATGTCTTTAGTGCTGATCGCTGCTTGGGCATTTTCTTTTGCAACTTCTGGAAGCTTTGAAAGAGATGGCTGCTGGTGGGATTTTAAGTGACTAAGTAGAAGTGACTTGCTCTTGCACTGCTTGCGGCAAATTTTGCAGACGTTGGTCTTGAGCTGTGCGTGGGAGTACTCGTGTCTGATGTACTGGTCGTAGGTTGAGAAGGGGACCTCACAAAAGCAACACTTGTACTGGCAGAAGTCTGGATTTCCCTTGTGTTTCCTCACATGATAGGTGTAGTCAAACGGGTCGGAAAAGTAGGCATTACAAGGCTTACAAGAAAACAGTTTGCGGTCATGAATAAGGCTGTGCTTTAAGGTCATCAAGTTGTTGGTTCCGATGAAGGAGCAAATTTTGCAAGAAAATTGCAGAAGCTCAGGGTGGGTCTTTTTGTGAGCGGAGAATGCTTCATTGCAATCAAAGCTCTCCCCGCAAGGAGGGCACACATGCATGAGACGAGCTCTGTGTTCTTTGGCCATGTGGTTCTTCACACAAGCCCTGTCTGTGTAGCCCTTGTGACACAGGGAGCAGCGGAAAGGTTTGTTGTGCTCGTGGCGCAGCATGTGACCCTTCAAGTCGTCGCGTCTTGCAAAGGACTGTATGCACTGAGAGCACTTGTAAGGTTTGGATCCTGTGTGGATCCTCACGTGTCGCTTGAGGTTATTCTTAGCAGTGAATGATCGAAAACAGTATGTGCAGGAGAATATATCGTGGTGCTCTAGCGCGTGTTTAGACACTGCCTGGCAGTCTGGGAGTACCAGGTGACATTCTTTGCACTTGTAGCCATCTTGGTGCTTGGATACCAGGCTGTGTGGGTGAGGTGTTGACAGGGAGATGCCCCTTCCCTTCGTGATCTCCCCCGTGAGGTCCACAGGTGAATCAGTTTCAAGGTCTGTAACATCAGAGCTGGTGAAAGATTCATCAGTTTCTTCAATGGTGTGTAAACAAGAATGGATATCTGTTTTTGCATCTACATCAGCATCACATTTGTCAAAACTTATCTGTGCTGGTTTCCTGGCTTCATCAAGCTCCATCCTCGTCTCTACATCAATCACAAGAGGGCTTTCAAATGTATTATCTAAATCATCATCCTCCATCTCATCACTCCCATCCGCTGCGGATCCTGACAGATCCGTATCCGATTTATCAGAAGTAGAATCCAGCGGGGAATCCTCAAGTTCCTCGTCAGGTTCCCCGTCGAAGCCATTACAGTAATAATCAGTAAACAGGCTTTTTGTCTTTTGCAAATTTTTAGATTTTTCTTTCGGTTTGGTTGCATCTGGTGTATCCCGCCCTGTGCTGGTATAACCGCTCTCATCATCACTGTCTCTTCGTTTCTGGCCCTCATTCTTGTTAACTGTATTTGAGTTCAGGGTATTTGGTGAAGGCAAGGAACACGAGTCGTAGGATGGACTACACATTGGCCGGTCCTCACCTCGGTTTTCAAAATTCAAGAAAGTAGGGGACGTGACCACCTCAACAGGCGACTCTAAACCTGAGTGTTCTGCTTGTTTATCCTCACATGGTGGGCTAACATATCTGTCTCTTAGTTTAACATTGAGCCCTGGGTCCAGCTCTGTTAAATAGTCATAGTTATTATGCTGGGGTCTTTGAAAATGTTTGTTTAAATTGACAACAATGGGATCCTCATCATTCTGTATTGTTATACTCACTCTACCCTCTATCCTAACTAACGGACGACCTAGTAACAGCTTTTCAACCAAAGTTAAAACTGACCCTTCAAGTAACTGTGTGATGCTCTCTTTTGTAAAGTTTTTGTCTGACAAAGCAGAAATTACGTCTTTATCAGTAAATTCCATTGGCTGAATGGCATCATTTTTACAGCTCGAAGGCAAACATCTGGGCCTAAATTCAGCAACAAAGCCTTCAGGGTAATCTAATGAACTAGGGTTCGTTACAGGGGGTCGGTTGCGAGGGCGAAATTCAGCAACAAAATCAGCCATTGTTATCTACATAAATTAAAATAAAAACTAAATAATTATAGTAAGAGAATAAAGATTATCACGATATAAATTAAATCTAAATTTTAGAAGTGTTCTGCTTAACACAAGAAATTGTTCTGTGGTTCGCTGGCGATGATGTAATCCTTGAAAATGAACCAGGTATGTATATTTTCCTTTAGAAATCCTTCCCAATATGCAAATATGGTTTTTGCAAAATGTTACAAAGAACTGTATCTGGTCTGCAGTATAAATAAAAAACTTAATTGTCAGTTAAAATAGAAATTAAATCTTGATGAATGCAAATGTGTTACTGTCAGTTGAAGGCCATCCAAATAAAATGATTCACAACTGTAAGGTAGACCAATCCACAAATATGCAGAAAGTCAGTTGTCAACAATAAAAAAAATAGCTCCTCTTCAAAGACTTTATACACGTCTTTTACCCAGGTGTCAGAATAGAAAATTTCGCTTTGTTGTTGACGAAAATTTCTAGAGTTGTCTCTCTTCGCTTCATCAGCAGTTTTAAAAAAAGATTCTGATGTAATCACTGGGTTCGATTATTCTTGAATCGCTTGTAATAATTATACACTGCAATAGTGCATACATTCTGAAAACAAAAAAATAAACACTTGTAATGATAAAAGTAACAATTTTATGTAAATCAACAAGAAAACAAGTTTATAAATTTAAAAAAAAAAAAACAGGATGTAAAAATAAAAACGGGAAACCCCACAAGCTGTTGACGTATCTAGCTACACAAATTACCCAGCATTATTTTTGGCTGGTATGTGTAAACAAGGGGTGTTTCATCGGCCTAATAATTTCTGTTATTTTCAAGAAAAACGATCCGCAATAGAATAAAGTTTAACTCTAAGTTCCTTTTATTTTAAACAGCTCGGTATAGTAGTTTATGTATACGAAGATACGTTTATAACGTAAGCTAGATCAAAAGTAAAAAGTAAACATAAAAAATCAACATTTGTTGTCCTAAAGTTCCTAATGTGTTGGAAATGTACAAGAGGGCTAATAATATGGTAGAGATATTTTATTTAAACAAGTTATAGGTACCCTTTTCTCTTAATTAAACATAATATTTTTAAGTCTTAGTTGGCCAAATTTTCTTGCTTTTGCAACTTAATTCATGTCGGATAAAAATAGTTCTTTTAAAAAAAAAAGTATTTCCTTTTTCGGTTAAACTGTCGCCACATTTCATTAACTAGAATGATCCAGTCAGTCCCCAGCAGACTGGTCGTAACCGACGCCTATCTTTCATTACGTCACACGACCTGACACGACAGCTTGTTATTGGCCTGTGACCAGTTATAGAAATTTCCGCCTCGGCTAAAACTGTACGAGGTCGATTTTTTTTTCTTCCTTCTAAAACTCGGGCACATTACAATACACCGTAAGCAGTCTTTAAGTTTTCTTGCACGAGTTTCAAGTAGCCAGGTCTATTTGCTTTCAGAAGCCCCCCCCCCCCCCCCCCACGGTCTCGCTCGATGAACCACCGCCAACCACAGAACCGGTTAGGTCGGATCTTTAAATTTTTTGGCCTCATTTTTTTCCTTGCACGCTACTCTGACTCTTTTGTAGTCCTCGTCCTCCCCCCACCCCCACAACGCGCTACTTAAAATAACCACTAAATCGGATTGCATAAATATTGACTATGTACGTAGCTGTGTTGAAGTTATAACACACGCGAACTCGCCCTCGTAATACCTAACAAAATCTATTAAAAGCCTGTTAAATATACATAAAGGTAGAATTACGGTTGTGTAGGTATACCCCCCCCCCCCCACGATATAGGAAGGTTAACAATGAAATCACTTAAAGTTAAGAAGGTAAACTTTAAATATCTAGACATACGGCTATATTATGTAAATAAGTGGGCTTGCTTGTCGAGTAGACATACTTTTTTCACTAGGGCTGACTAAACAAAAACGCAGGTTCGGCTTACATTTAAGTAAGACGAGTTTTTCACTAAGTGACTTAATCCCTTATAGATTCTATGTGAAAAAAAAAAAATTTAAAAAAAAATAATGGTAAAAGTAAAATGGGTATGCCAAATCCCTTTCCGACTTTCCATAACATTAAGCTAATTAAAACAAATCTCCAGCGACCTAATGAATAAATTATAAGCTGGGGAGGGGTTGGGAAGGGCGGGATTAAAAACATGACGCTACACACTTCGTGTCTATCCGAGTAATTTTTCCACTTGGAATAAATCAAAGCGAGGCTGGAAAAAAAAACCCACAGCGGTCTGACGTGTTTACCGGATACAAAACTGTTGTCGACAAGGATAGTCGCCCTTGACTTTTCACCCTTATCTCGACTGCTGCATATTGAGTCAACTCCGTCTGTTAGGCTTTACCAGGAAACTGCGACATTCATTACACATGTGTAGTAAGGTCCTTTACCCCCCCCCCCCCCCCTTCCCCCTCCGTATTGTTTTAAGCAAATCTTAATAAGCCTAATCAAGATGAGAATAGATTTAGATCTACTTAAATCTAGTTACTTGTAAGTAGGCTATAATCTAGATCTAAAAGACTACAAAAACGAAAAAAAAAAAAAGATACAAAACAGTTTAAATCTATAATTTTTGTCAGAGATTTAAAAAAAAAATTGGAATGAAATTAGTTATTGGGGTACATAATCTTTTAAGTACATTTTTGTAGGATAACTAGACTAGATCTAGATCTCTAGATCTATAATAAATCTAAGTCATAAGACTGGAGTCGATAATATTTTTTTTTAAAGTTCAGAGCCAATAATTAATTTTAAATAGATCTAGAATCTAGATAATCTAGCTAGATCTAGATCTAGGCCTAAGCGCCTAAATCTAGATTTCTTGATTTAGATCTAGATTCTAGATCTAAATAAAATTGTAAAACAGCTTAATAAGAATAATCTACATCTAATTTAATCTACAATTATACTAGACTATCTAGATCTAGATCTATACCTAGATCTAGATCTAGCTAGATGTAGATTTCTCTAGATCTATTCTAGATTACTCTTCATACTCTTGTGGTTAGTTTTTTAGTAGTGTATTTAAAATTTAAATCTAGATTTCTTGATCTAGACTAGATCTAGATCTAATCTAGATTATCTAGATCAAGATCTAGTCTAGATCAAGAAATCTAGAATCTAGATCTAGAGATCTAGATCTAGAGTGTCTAGATCTAAATCTAGATCTAGATTAGAAGGTAAAGTCTAAAGTCTAAAGTAAAGACTTCCAGAAATCTAGAATAGATTATCTATTATATTTAATCAAAAAACAAATTGGTACTTACCAAAGATAGATGTATGTCTAGTAACGTTAAAGGTTCCACAAGAGTAATGCTTTGAAATTAAAAACTCGGTGAGTTTTTAAACGGTCCTCTACCGTGTTCACTCCTACCGATCCTACAGCCACTGGCTTACTTTTCCGGTGTTTCCGAGCGTTTTATTACGCCGATTGACGTATGGTCACGTGATCCTATAAATAGACTCGAGCTTTGCCATCCGTTATGGGACTGACTGCAAGCGCAAAGGGGCGGGGGGAAGAACAAGTGTTTGGGAATTTAAGGGCGGAGAGAGGAGGGGTGGGGGTAGGAAAGGGTAGGGAGGAGGTTGAAGGATGTGTGAAGGGAGATTTGCATTTTAAAATGTAAGTTCGGAAATGTTATTTCAGTTTTCTGCGGCGTAAAATCCATAAGTCCGTGTGTTTCAGCGGGTTGCAACACCGTTAAAAATAGAAGTTGTAAGCGAAAGTCATGTTATTTTAAGGGGGGGGGGGGGGGGGGGGGTTGGGAGAGAGTGGATGCTTTCAGTTTACAGAATGGGTACTTTCCGATTCGGCCTAAAACAATACAGTATAGATCCTTGTTTCAGCAACAACTCTTATCATGTATCATAATCAAAACCCAATCCCGTAACTGTAACAAATAACAATAGTGGAGTCAAAACGAAGCTCGAACTTCAGCGGCGGCACCCTTTAATGTAGACCGAGAGTGGCTCCTAAGTCTGTCCCGGTGTGTGTGTGTGTATATATATATATATATATATATATATATATATATATATATATATATATATATATATATATATATATAGCCATATACATATATATGTATATATATATACATATATATATATACATATATATTTATACATATATATAATATATATATATATATATATATATATATATATATATATATATATATATATATATATATATATATACATATACATATACATATACACATACACGCACACATACACGCACACATACACACACATATATATATTTATATATATATATATACATACATATATATATATATATATATATATATATATATATATATATATATATATATATATACATATATATATATATATATATATATATGACTGTATCATAAGCAGATAAAGCCAAGTTCGCAATAAAGGTTTAGGACTTTGGCAGCCTGGGATATCACCTGACGAGTGACTATCCTTGGACTTTACACCTTTATTTCCCACAACTTACTGCGGCTGTCTCTAGCCCACGACCAGCGGGCCGCGTACGGACCTCTTTATCTTCGTTTACTGATAAATTTTCTATAGGCCTATATGTGTCAGTATTATTCTATTGAGTCAGTATCAATATAGCCAATATTTGGTTACATTTGAAGTTAATTTTAGCAGTTCGTTTTTTAAACTGTAATACAACCGATTAGGAACCAAAAAATGTTATCATTTTTCTTACACCGTGTGCATACATCTTAACTACAAGAACTAAAAGTCTTAATTAGATACACAAATATTATTAGTGTCTACTTGTTAATATATTCATTTGTTCTGGTTTTTTTTTAAATGCTTGGAATTGTGTTGTGTTTCAGAACTTAAAATTTATTAAGAACTAGCCGTCCCGGCCAGGCCCTGCTCTGGCTTCTGTGAAAAACCTTTCTGTTAAAGACCATTACCTGTGTGTTTAGTAATCATCATAAACCCGGCATTGCCCACCCAAACCACAACCAACCAAAACAACAAAACGCAAACATATCGCTTACACAATTACAAATACAAACGAAAACAGAAACCTAACAGCAAAACCCAACCACAATCACAAACACCAATACAAACACAAAGAAAAAACAAACAAAAAAGCAAACGAAAACAAAAACCTAACAACAAACCCAACCACAACCACAAACACCAATACGAACACAAAAAAAAAACGAAAAAGCAAACGGAAACAAACCAAATCCAAACGCAAAACCAACCACAAACACAAATACAAACACAAACCCAAAGAAAAAAACATAAACGAGAACGAAAAAAGTAAGAACAAAAACGAACCAAATCAAAACGCAACCACTAACGCAAACCCAACCTAAACACATAGAAAACACTAACGCGAACATAAACGCAAAGTGCTCACAGTCTAGCCCGAGGCAGAATCGCCTGTTTCCGCTTAATAATCGACAACAGTACCCCAACTTATTCATAGTCTTTTGCACTCACTTAAACGAACGTAGGTGCCAAACCAAACCAAATGAACAATTATAATACTCCAAGCTTATTCGTAAAATACCTAAAACATTTGCACTTGATCAATCCCCGCTAATTATTTAATTATTTTTTTCCCAACACCAAAACAAAATAATAAAAAGTAAATTCTTTTCCACGAATGCAATGTTTCATAAAGGGAAGTAATTGTGTTTTCCTAATTTATCAAAGGGAAGTAAGTGCTAAAGGACTAAATATAAATAATTTTCAGACATAATTAGAATTTGTGTTATTTTTTTTTAATTATATTTAATGAACATGCCGACAATTATTACTATCAGTTTGAAAAATGAAAATTATTTCCCAACACTTTCAATAGTAATTTTTTTAACTCATAAATTTAGACTACGAGCACGATAATAGTCTAACACTTAAATCCATGGAAGTATGTCAACGACAAACAAACAAACTTATCTTTACATACAGAATTGAGCTTTATATATTAGATGTCTAAGTAGAGTTATATAATATTGATATTTTTTTCCGGGCAAACACCTTCGGGCATCTGGCTTTCGGGCATATGTCCCATTCGAGTGAGTGTCCATTCGGTAAAACGGCCTTATCGCTAGTGCTATGTTATTTGTTGGTCACTGTATTCTTGTGTTCTGTGTATGTCGCTGCAGTCTTGTGTTGTGTTCTCTGTATGTCGCCGTGTTCTCGTGTTATGTTCTCTTTATGTCGTTGTATTCTCGTGTTATGTTCTCTGTATGTCGCTGTATTCTTGTGTTATGTTCTCTGTATGTCGCTGTATACTTGAGTTCTCTGTATGTCGCTGTATTCTTGTGTAATGTTCTCTGTAAGTCGGTGTATTCTTGTGTTCTGTTCTCTGTATGTCGCTGTATTCTTGCGTTCTGTGTATGTCGCTGTATTCTTGTGTTATGTTCTCTGTATGTCGCTGTATTCTTGTGTTATGTTCTCTGTATGTCGCTGTATTATTATGTTCTGTATATGTTGCTGTATTCTCGTGTTATGTTCTCTGTATGTCGCTGTATTCATGCTTTCTGTGTATGTTGCTGTATACTTGTGTTGTGTTCTCTGTATGTCGCTGTATTCTTGTGTTATGTTCTCTGTATGTCGTTGTATTCTCGTGTTATGTTCTCTGTATGTCGCTGTATACTTGTTATATGTTCCGTGTTCGACTATCGTCGACAGCTGACAAGACAAGATGCCCTTTCACTTATCTATGAAAGTCAAGGTGACAGCAGCAACCTCGTTTTGAAAACTGTAACGTTGAAACAAGCGCAATACGTTTTTTTTAAAATATATATTACATTAGATCTATCTATTGCGTGTTTTTCCCTGTCTAATCTAAACTCGGTCCGGATCGTTACATTAGCTAAGGGAAAAACACAGAGATAAGGAATACACAAATGATACGGGGGGGGGGGGGGGGGGGGCGAGGGTGAACGGTCGTTAAGAGTTCGGGTGGGGGGAAACGAGATAGGTGGAGTGGGCATGGGGTTGTCCTGACTCGACCCAACGCACGTGGACTGAGGTTGAGGTCAAGTTTAGCTGGACACTGTGGCCACGTTAGGTGTTATCATCGTAAGGCGGCGAGCTGTTGTGTGATAACATGTTCAAAGTATCGGCCGTGCTGCGGGCCTTTCCGGCCAGCAATACGTGGTCGCCAAACCCGTGTTTTATTTTTTATTTAATTTTGATCTACACTGATATCATCAGCGTACTAATCAGGGTAGTTATCCGTAGCAGGTAGGGTGGTTGATATGTAGGAGATAAGATAAAGTCTTAAGGTACGCAAACATTTCACACACTTCTTTGTTTATTAATTTGATAATTTGTATGGCAAGAGTCCAGACGCCCTTACATGATTTACAGTACATAAGACGGCATATGTGTCGTCAGTACTAACTCTCCTGCCTTTACTTTCCGTCACATGAATACAGGCAATTTTGCTAGTCGTGAGTGTACTTCGGGAGTTAACGTTTTGCTTGATTACCAAATCAGATGAAATATAGAATCAAATGAGGGGGGGGGGAGTGATTTTGTGGGTGTCATTTCCAATTACCGTTATGAAAACCGTTGTTAAATCTAAATCATTACGACCACTTCTACATTGCATGGTCATCGCCCCCCCCTCCCTCTCCCAACATCTGTACATATTATTCCATCACCACCATCAAACCCTTCCCCCACCACCATCAACCCCCCCCACCACCATCAAACTCTTAACCCAGCACCATCAAACCCTTCCCACCACCATCAAACCCTTCCCCCACCACCATCAAACCCTTCCCCCACCACCATCAAACCCTTCCCCCACCATCATCAAACCCTTCCCACCACCATCAAACCCTATCCCCACCACCATCAAACCCTTCACCCACCAACATCAAACCCTTTCCACCACCATCAAACCCTTCCCCCACCACCATCAAACCCTTCACTCGCCACCATCAAACCCTATCCCCACCACCATCAAACCTTTCCCCACCTCCATCAAACCATTCCCCCACCATCAAACCCTTTCCCACCTCCATCAAACCATTCCCCCACCTCCATCAAACCCTTCCCCCACCTTCATCAAACCCTTCCCCCACCATCAAACCCTCCCCACCACCATCAAACCCTTCCCCCATCTCCATCAAACCCTTCCCCCATCTCCATCAAACCCTTCCCCCCACCACCATCAAACCCTTCCCCCCACCATCAAACCCTTCCCCCACCACCATCAAACTCTTTCTCACCACCATCAAACCCTCCCCCCAACACCATCAAACCCTTCCCCCACCATCAAACCCTCCCCACCACCATCAAACCCTTCCCCCCACCACCATCAAACCCTTCCCCCCCACCATCAAACCCTACCCCGCCATCATCAAACCCTTCGCCCCACCATCAAACCCTTCCCCCCACCATCAAACCCTTCCCCCTTC